GTACGTTACGATTATTCATTTATAGAACTTTATAATATTTGAAAACTAGTCACACAGTACAGTACACAATATACAAACTAAATGCGTAAGTCTATTGCAACTATTAATCTGACAGTCAAACAGGAAATCTATTTAACATTGACCATAAAAGAAATAGCTATATAATATAGTTATAATAATTATAAAGCTCATTATTTTATACTGAAATGAACTAAAACTGTTGAGTCTTGAATAACTACTCAATAAAATTACAAGACATTAAATATTCCTTGGTCAAATAAACATTAAGGCAAGACAAGTAATAAGATTAATTAAGAAATTGTGTAGAATCAGTATACATTCCACCCTTTAATTTTCATTTTTTTTTCTAAAATATTTTACTTGATTTCATCCAGGTAAACATTTGAAATGTGCAGTGTGCAAGTTATTTGTTCTCTCTCTCTCTCGTGTTAGACAAAATACAGTAGCGTGTTTACTATCTTCCTGGTTACTCCTCAATTAATTAGAATTTTGTAAACAAAAATTTAAAACTTTTTTAACATTTGGTGAAAACTTTTTTACACCTTACCAATTTGTATTGTTTTAATTTCAGCCAACTCACCTGCAAACGTCAGCAAATGGGCTGAGATCAGGAGGAAGGAGGCTGCTGAACACCACTAACTTAGCAAGAACAATAGAACTGGGTTATAAGAACCAATTTGTGTGATTTATTTATGTTGTAAGCGAATATTAAATCATGTAATAGTTATATTTTGTTTTATTATGCTTGAATACTGGTTTTTCTCATAATGTGTTTCTTAAACATGAGACACAATCACACAAATGCCTAGATTTTTCAATAAATAAATTTTGTAGGTATAAAAAATGAATTCCTTTTTATTAGTCTCACTAAAAGTAAAGAAAGGTTGAACTAACATGTCTTATTGTAGTCTTGAAATATGCCTGTCGCGTGTTAAATAGAAAAAAGGCCTAACTCAAAAATGAGGATATTCCAAAATTGAACCTTATTATTGAAGCATAATTTTTAAGATTGAAATACTTTATCTTTTGAGTTAGGTCTCTTTTCTGTTTAACAAGCAAAAGTCAGAAAAAAAAATTCGTAACGTTTAGACGAAGTTTGCCGTAGTAAAATATAATAATTAGTGCTTTGAGGTCAACTGATAGAAGTGAGTCGGCCTTAATGTACTTAAGAACACACAATTTTTACCTCAGTGATAAGATGTGTTAAGCGAAGGAGAGCATTTCTTTATCACGAATAGACCAGCTTGACCTGAGTGGTCAGACACGGCCTCAGAAAACTGGAGTATTGAGTTTCGATGGATATGGGAGGCCCAATCCATCTCCATACTTAGACCTCTAGCCGGCAACGCTCTTACATCTCGTGTTGCAGGAATTCATGGGCGGTACCAATAGATTACTTTCAAGTAGGTTATCCTATTGCTCTTTGGCTGCCGTACCGACTGCGTATAAAAAAACCACGGCGTCACTGAAAACTGGCGTGAAATATTGTGCGTGAGGAGACGTGTAAGCAATACCATTCCTAAAGTCTACTTGTGACTCCTCTTGTATTACAAGAGTCCAAAGACGATGCGATACCCTTTATCATCAAGTGTTATAAAAAGGTAAAGTGTAACGTCTGCGTAGTTGCCTCAAAAGTATTGCTTGTCTTACCTATAACAGGACCCAAATTAAATGAAGATTGTCAGTGTTTGAGAACCTTTCATAAGTAACTTTTTTATAAGTGATAGGTCGCAAACGTGCATACTGCTTACCTGACGGGGAATAATCAGCGCCGCACGTGAACATCCGCAAAAGTGCAGGAACTACGAGTACATATGTTGTGGACCTTAGTAACGTCGTAGTAGTGGTAAGAGATTTAAGGATTGGGGGGGGGGATGAATTGGGCGTGCGGTAACCTCACACAAACTTGAAATATGGTGTTTCAAATAGGTAAAGTAACTTTAAAAGGGGTTAAAACTTTAGTAAATAAAATAAACACAGCAACTGTACGTGGGTGCTTTATTACTACCGTATAAATTAATATAAAACTTATAAATTACATAAATAAATAGTTGCTGACAAAATGATCATCATTATTGGAAATAACAAATCACTGAGAACATAGATATTATCATTATATTGTAGTTATTATGTAGGAATGCACTGGTACAAATTATTTATTCAGTCACCCACAATCGCCTATTCAGGCCAAGTTATTATATTATTTAAATAATACTAGACGCAAATTATAAAAAAAAATAGCAAAAATATAAAATGCAATGTGAAAACTTGTGTGGCTGACTGTATTTAAAGCAAGGTTGCCATAAAACAAATTTATAATCATGTTTGTGAATTATGAGTATTGATTAAAATTGACCACATAAAAACAGAAACGCGTTAAAAGTAGCAACCACTGCCAAGAAGTTATACAATTATTTTTGGTTCCCTAATAATATCAAATTAAATTTAAAAAAGCGGCTATGCCTCAGAAAAAAAACCAATGCTGTTTCAACTAAATAAAAAAAAAAAAAACAAATAAAATTTAGCAAAACAAAACACAACTTTGAGTTCGATTGATCGAGGTTACGAGATTGTAGAAAACAAGAATTACGTTCAAACAACTCGAGAGAACAGTGACTACATAATTTCGTCACATCAAACTTATACGCTAGCAAAATTACTAAAACTAAAACTAATGTCTATAACTGCCCTACTCAGAGACACCTTTAATGATTACAACTATTCCTTAGTAACGCTTTTGTTCTTGCTACGGACTGGGATAAGTGGTCATTAAAACGACTCTGAGTATGACGGTAAGGGTGTGTACACAATGTTTTGATGGCTTCACTCACAGATCAAGCAAGCAAATTTTAAGGACATTGCGTACATGAGCCGCGAACCAATATGCTGCATAAACTTGAGTTTTACAGTTTCTTCATAATTTATCATCTTAACTTGCAAGCGTTATTTTACATAGTGCACCCGAATGCAGCAAATTAGTTTTACAATAACATTTATTGTTATTGTAAAACTAATTTGCTGCAACGTCGAACACAAGCCTTGAACGTCACGAAATAATACTACAACTTATTCAAGTCACTAACGAGGGTACTAAATGCAGTCGTAACAATAATCAAGAGCTATTTTAGCAAATGTATGTGTATTCGTCAGCATTTTATCTAGATTCAATTGAAAATGTAGTTTCTCAGCCAAATTGTATGATACTGGCAATAATTTCAATCAAGATAACTTTAATTGTATTGAATCTACAATCAACAATTTTATTAAAATATGCCAACCAAAGTTTCTCTCTTTCCGTCTAATAAGTTAATCAGTTTATTTAAAAGCCACGAACAATAATAATAATCGAGAATAGTAACAATTTAACATGACAACATTTACATAGAGGTGGAATGAATTATTTTTAAATATAACTAACTACTCAGGGCGTTTAGATTCACTAGAGGACAATGACCTTTAACAAGAGTCTTAAATTGTCGCTAGGAGCACTCGGGTAGCGTAAGGTCTTATACAAAAACTTTCTACTGAAAAGCCTCTGGCCTGTATACTTCTGACAGCTTAATAGCTAGGAAGTATAAAACCTAACGCTACATTAACGCCATCTAGAAACAGGAAGATCTCTCTTACAGACTCTTGTAACGTTGCATTTCAAACAATACGTGCAACATGATTTAGAGCAACTTACAAGTATTTGTTGCGTCTGGAATCAAATGCAATCAAATTGTATTTATAAATTATACTAACGGAATTGAATTGCAAAAATAATGCAGAATGTAGCTCTCACGGCCAAATTATTGATACATAAAAATATTATTTCAATACAGTAGCTTTGTTATTTCAATGCTTACAATTGTGCAGATAATATATTTGATACTATAATATCATTTCATTCTATAAAGTACAAAATATTTACATATTTTTATGTCTAATATTTGTACATTAACAATTTATTTAATTACATGTTATGTGTATGTGTGTAAGGCTTTTGAGGATATCAACTCGTTCTAATTAATAGTATATTTAGATAGTTTATAAAGCAAATTTGTATATTTTTTTTTAATTTAGCATCTTTTAGGCTGAATGTCGACACGATAGATTTCGACTAAAATCGATACGATAGAATTCGACTAAGTCATGAAATTGTATTAAGTTTCTGACATATGCCCGGTTCCTATATTTAACGAATCGTCGTTGTATACGCATTACGACCAAATGACATTACGAATAGTTATCTTGACCGTCTACTGACGGTTAAAATATTTATAGGAAAACCACAGACACCATAGATCTCCATACAATTCGCTTACCGACATCCGTTAGTTGCAAACCGTCAGTAAGTTGCACAACGAGACGTTTGTTATAGGAACGGTTTTAGCTTACGAGTCGTATATAAAACTACTATTCGTAACTAAAACGGATCGTTTCTCAATTATAGGAACCGGGCATTAGTCGATTATCGTATAAGGTTTTTAACAAATTGAAACAGACATTTTTTATGACATTTAACAGGCTTTAAATTAATTATCAACAATAATACTTTTATAATAAATAACGTAATTGGCTAGAGAGAGTAGAAGAGTAAATACGTTATTTTTATAATTTATTAAAGCGATGAAAGCACGGCAAGTTACGTTAATGACATGCGATCATACCAAGCTACATTCTTTTTTTACTATTTACTGTTAATATGGTACAAATCTTGTAGTTTCTCTAAAAAATTTAAGAGTAATTTTAAAGTTTCCTGTATTTAAATATTACGCCCTAAGTTTTGTCTTTTTTATATTACATAGTACAATTGACATACATATATATACTTATGATTTTTTTTATTTATCTACACCAGTCATTTGTTACAATGTCCGGGTGTTATTAAGGGTAGGTCACACCGCTAGAAAGCGAGCGACTTACTGACAGTGTAATCTACGCCTTAGCGTATGGCATACTATAAAACACAGTTTCCAGCACTTGGCATTATAGTACCGCATACATTGTCATATTTATTCAATTAGCGTTTGTTTTTTGAACTCTTTGAAATATTAGTTACTTGAGATTTTTTGTGTCAATGTCTTTTTTTATAAAATGTGACTATTATACAGGTGTTTTGTATTATCATGGTCCTAAGCCGTATTGGGAGCAATTATCATAAATATTCCAGACGCTTATCTTGTATGTACCGCATATATGCTGATCAACAGCGTATTCATTTTATATTTGGTTGATTTCGATGGTTTCGTCAACATTGGATTATCATAACGAGAGCAGAAATTGATACATCGTACCTTAAATTAACAACTCCAAACGAAAAACAATTGAAATCACAGAAGTTAAGGTTCAATTTTGATTGAATCGATTTCTTCGCTCGTCATAATAGATATCACAATTAGATCCGTGATAGGGTCGCACATGCGTCTACCTCCTAACTTCTATATCATACAACGAACCATTGCAGCCATGTCCTAGGCAGACTACTAATTTATACAATACTGAACGTACTCTTTTAGTTAAGTACGTAACACAATACAATATGGATGATGACAGGGTGAATTAAAAATTAATTCAGAGTTCAATCATGAAAAAATATTAGACATGCCTTTTTTTCTATATTAAATAAAATGGATTAAACTTTGTCACTTGAATCACACCTAAGTAAAACTTATGCGTTGAAGTGACGTCATAAGGTTCTTCAAATCAAATCTGTATTTTAATATGTTTAATTTAAAAAATCTCAACCAGTCATCATCCTAATCAAAATGGAACCTTATGTAGTTATGTTAAGTGGTATAACTATTAATCACTAGCCTCAGTATCGGACGTAGTCGGCGAGGTGGGAGGGTGCAGGTCACTTGAGCTTGGCTCGCTTGGGCTGCGGCGCCTCCTCGTCGGAGGAGGGGGAGGGCCTCTTACTGCTCTTTGAAGAGCTGTCGTCGCCCTCCGTCAGCCTGATCTCCGGCAGCGACGGTAGTTCCAGCTCCGCGCAACGCTTGTTCATGTACTTTTCTAGACGGTTGCCAGCTCTGGAAGGTAGTCATAAACATGGAACTATAGTAAAATTTACGGTGACACAGTTTAAAAATGCTACTCTTTTCTTACTCCTTAAGTAAATATGTTTTTTTCATACAACCGAATAACGTTGTCTGGAAATGTACAACCGCACTAGCTTGTGACAGAGCTTCGCTGGCATTACCCAGATGAAAAGTAGCACATATTATTCATTATTCCAGACTATATGATGTCTTACACTTGGCTTTGACATAAAACAGAAACAAATATCTGTCATTCATACTTAAAAACTTTCGCGTTTATAAATTAGCACGAATTTTACACTACAACAAAACTGAATTTAGACGAACAAACAATTCTTAACGTTGTTTTAATTTTATATATAGTTCCATCATAAGACAGTTTGTTTGAACGTGCTTATCTCTGAAACTACTGATTCGAATAAAACAATATTTTTTGTGTTTGTTAGTTCATTCATTGAGGAAGGCAATATAAAATCACGCAACGGTCTGTAGGATCCGAGCAGTGGGTGAAATCGCGCGAGAGTAGCTGTTACATAAATAAATAAAGTAGTATACTAACTTGGCGACAGGATGCGAGTCCATGTTGTAGGTGTAGCAGTTGAGGAAGACGAGCGCGGCGTCAGCCAGCAGGTCCTCGTCCGTGCTGTACTGCTCAGACTCCAGCTTCTCGCGGATCGTTGAGAAGTCCATCGGCTGGTCTATCACTTCCAAGTAATCGGGCACCTGTGAAAATTTGTAATGTTTTTATTCGATCTAAAATTATTATTGATTCAACAACAGTTACATTACCTATACTTTTAAATAACGTAGCCATTATTTATAGTTATGAAGTAAACTTTTGGGAGTATTTTTAGTTTCTATTACCATAGAAGATAGTGGTTTTGGTTACGGATTGGTTTACTAAGTCCAATTATAAATTAGGCTTGTTCAATAACCAAATAAGAATCTACTATGAAAAAACTTTGAAAAAGAGTTCTGCGACGTCCGGCGTTAGATTAGGGGACGTAATAATACGTTATTATGTTTTAATTCCTTAAGTATAGTCGATAAAAATGAATGAAATTAATGAACTTTATTAGTCTAATCCGTGTTAATGGCAGCACTAGCTGTCAGGTGTTAATTTTCCCGCTCTTGGATAAAATGTGATGGTGATGTGAATATGATTTTATTTAAAATTACTCACATCTTCGGACGAGACGGGTTCGTAGAAGGGCCAGCAGTCCTTGTGCTTCATGACATCCCGCAGTAACGTCTGCAGTGCTTCCGTATGCAACTGCGTCAGTCGACTGCTACGCTTCTTACTGCTGCGCTCCTCTGCAATATTATAAATAACTATTGACTGTCGTCGCTCAAGATAACGTGTTCACGCTTTTTGCGTAATTCACAAATTGTGGTTTCAGGTCTGAGTGTGATGTGTATGTGATTTTTTATATTCTTCCTCATTGGAATTGGGTGGCTAATGAGCAGATAGATCACCTGATGACAAGTAATCGACGCCGCTCATCGACATTTGTAACACCGAAGTAGTTGCTAATGACAGTGAGCTTTTTGAGGACTAAGATTTTACGATTGAGGGATCTGACGATGAAGGAAGGGATGGAAGGATTAGGCCTCCGTATTGTTAACGAAAGCACGACGAAGGGATTCTAGTTTTTACTACTACAATACCACTACAGACTAAATGTATCTTCTCCCATGGAGAAATTATATGATATAGAGAGATAATTATATGCATTATGAGCATTAAATATACTCGCGTTGGTTAAAAATGGATACGTCTTGCCTTAGCCTCGTGGAACAAAAATAGGTATTTTGATCAGACTTAAGGATTCTTCTACTCACCATGATGTCCATTCGTTAACGAATTTTTCGATCTTCTGCCCGTCGAGTGCCTTTCATTTGTGTTTTCTTGATCCTGATTCTTTGATCTAGACATAAAAGGAATAAAAAATATATTGTTTCTACGAAATATTGATAATCATTACGAGTATTGCTGGTTAGAATACTAATCTAAACAGAGCTGAATGCTAATTATCTTTAAATTAACGTGATCAAACCGTTATCGTAATTAGCTCTCTGATTGACTGGTTAACTTGGAGCGGGCCAATCAGAGTACCCCACGCTATACATCCACCGCACTAGGTATTCTATCAAGTATTTATAATACATTCTTAACCTTATACCTTTGTAATAAAGCTGAACTTTGACTTTGGTTGACATTCCCTAAAGTAGGAGGGCTTCCTAGTCAGTTAATGAGGTTACTCCTAATAGACTTCAAAAAAGGAGAAAGTTTCTCTATTCAACCGTATACTCTTTTTTAATGGGGCAACTCTATCTCAATTTCCTATTAGCCAAGTAATGCAATATATACAACGACGGAAAACACCGAAAAACAAATGTGCGGCGCGTCCTTGGGACATGAAAAACTGTTTTGGATCCCACAAAGAAACAAAACACACAATATTATGTACGTACAGAAAAAACTAAATATTTTTTTAACTTCTACTTACCTCAGCGAATTGAATGACTTAAGATTTGAAAGGTAGGTAAGTAACGCGGTATTGTATACTTACTTGCGTCCCCTCTTAGGTTTCCCATTATGTAGTGGCGACGACTCCTTGCTGTTGCTCGCCGGTTTTGTTAGTTTCACCAACGCAACATTATATTCGCTGTCATCAGAATCTGCAAGTAATATGTCTGTTAGTTTATCTGTATTATCCCATAATGCCAGAGAAAGCCATAAATGAAGTGATAATCCTTTGCCAATGATTATTTTCTTTACGAATCTGAAAAATATACATAAATACAATTCGATTGGTTCCAACAAATTAATTTATTTTGACTTTGTAAACTAATCAATTTGTATCAGTAATGTTTTAGTTGCTATAAGCATTTTGCTATCTATTTGATAACAAAGCCTTTTTTTTATTATTCATTCTAAAGATTGAACATTAAAAGTTAGCCAACATGGCTTTAAATTTGAACTACATAACTGTATAAAACAACTAAACAAATAAATAAAACCAAAAACAAAAAATATTTATTTGAACCTTATTCGTTAAAAGAGACTGACCTCTGAGTTTGTTTCGGTATTTCTCAGAAAAGTCAGATTTTTTAAATATAATGTTGCCATTTTAAGGTCTATTTACAAAAATAAATAAATTATTTATTGGCAAGCTTAAAGGATGTTTATCACTTCATTTATATCCGACTTTATGTATAAAAAGTACATAAGTACAGAAGAATGATATTAAAGCAATTCGTAATGAATGTGTTAGTGCGCTTAAAAGCAATTAGTAAGCGCTTGGAGACTACACAGAGCATATCTTGATTTGCCTATATAAGAAAACCAAGACATAGGATATAGGAAACCTACCTACCAAGAACAAAAACCAAAGATATACTAAATAACATCACATAGAATTTCATTGTGAAACTGATTGAAAAAGAGTAAACATGGGGTTCCTCGCTTGTTCTTCTTTAGACGAATCTACACTTTGGAACAAGCAAAAAGTTAGTCTAGAGGATTGACTAGTACTTTTTAATCTTTAAATGCCTTTTAATGGTCTAATTTGAAGAAATTATTTCACTAAGACTTTTGACACTTCACAGTTCAAAGCATCAAGCATGATATAATTTCCGGAGCGAATATTGTCCTCCAAATTACGTTGTAGGTAGGTAGTGTAGGAAAGTTCACGTATTGTGATTCTATTTTCATTGTTTATGTTGCCATTGTTTTGTTTTTTATCATGTAATGACAGAAAAAAAGTTAACATATCAATACGAAAATAAATTTATATTATAATTAACACAAATCGCGAATTCTACTTAAAAAATTAAGAGATCACATGACAAACCCTGCATAGCGATAGTGAAGTTTGCTTGCGCGCAGATTAACATGGATGGGAAATCCTAACGTCCAACTGTTGGTTAGTACCCCCCATTGCTCATGACCCCGACTATTTAGAGGCTTCTCCTTACCGATCTTTGGGACATTTACTTTCTTTTCCTTAAGCCTCCACCACGAAAAGCCCATCAGGCATTTTTCGTGCAGGGAATTATAACTGATATGATTTTGTCCTCTGTAATATACCTGGATATATTTAGGTATATTTGCTATAATAGTTACATTTAATGTAACTCTAATATCAAAATATTTCAATATACATTATTTAAGCAGTGTAAGAAATCTTACTTTTTGTACTTTAACTTTGACGTTGGATGATATTTCCAATACATATTTTTATGCAGATGCAATATGCATATGATAAATAGCAGATTTAGATTATTTGGATACTGTACGCATTTGAAATTAGATTTCATTCCTAGATAGAACGCAATTGGTATACACTTATTAGAGGAGGATGAAATGAACGAAGAAGACCAATAATCTAACAATAAAAACAAATGCTGTGCAATTAATGGATGGATGGCAAGCATGAGAATGCAGTGCGTTAGTACAGAATGCAGATTATAGATGGCAGCACAACCCACAGCCTAAGATGATACAACTTTTACAACAACCAGATTGGCCACGGAATTTTATTTAAATACTCAAGTAATTTTTTAAATAGGGAGAGTCAGGAAGAAGAATATGTAAAAGGTACTATGTTTGTTAAACTTTAACATCACTAACGGCGCTTATAAATGACAAGACCATTATTAACAGTGGCGCCGCCACAGAAAGTCAGGGAAACATTAGGAACAGATAAAATCTAGTGCAGCCTTAGGATGATCGGAAACTAAGTATACATATTTGAACAAAAATATAGAAAAAGGAAAAAAAGACATGCAATCGAAATTGAATGAGTTTTAGGACAATAGAGAAATAGGGAACATTTACATTAGTTGGTAGATTACCAAAGCGGGCTTAAATCAAAATTAGACTTTCCCCATAAGAAGGTAAGAGCGAGAATAGCGTGTTTGATTTAATTCCGTGGCCATATACCAGTACCAAGGGTACACGGTACGCACCGAAGGAGTCCCTGTCGCGTACTAATCGGCCGTAGTTGTTGATGTAGTTCGCGGCCGCGGCCGCGCAGCGACGACCGCTCGTTTCTTTTGATATAATCAACCCCATTAGTTGCATACACAATATTTTAAAAGCTATTTTGATGTGTGTTAAAACTTCAAAATTTATGTTTTAATTTGGAAACTGAAGTTAATTAAAGTAAAATGCTATTGATTAAATTAGACTTGCTAATGTATCAATGTTTTAATTTAAATAAACTTATTTTTTTCTCCATCACGTCCAATAATTACAATAACGCCAACGTATCTTGGCGAGTGTGAAGTTAGCCGATTAGCTGCGCAGTACACAATTTTGTTCCTAAAAGATCCATTGCGCAGACAAACGGCTAACTTCAGACTCGCCAAGATACGGCGGCCGTACTGTAGATACCTATACGTGACAATACAATTATGTAACAACCTGACTGATAATTTTGTATGAAAGTAAAATTTCCATATTAGTCCTAGGGAAAAGTTGTTTTGAGCACCAGATTCGTGGTCCTGAATATGTCCCCCGTTCAAAATAACATGATTATATTGAGTAAAGTATAAAGAGGTAATGTCTACATACCCCTAGTGGGCGCGAGACAGGCGGCGCAGGTCCAGCGGCGCGCGGCGCGGGCGGGGCGCGGCAGGGCGCACTCGGCGTGGTAGGGCGCGCGGCAGGTCGCGCAGCGCGCCCCCAGCCGCCCGCCGCTGCCGCAGCCCGCGCAAACGCCGGCGTCCACCTGGTACTCCGAGTCACTATAACAATACCAAAACTCAATTTGCTTCCGGAAAGGGCGAACACTCAGCCGCTATCACGCCTGGCCATAATGCGGTCTACGATGGAGCATGCCTACCCATAAGCAACCTATTTATTCGGGCCTTGAAGACCTTCTACTCTTCGAGGAACACAGACTCCGGCAAAGAATTTGTATTATTTCAGACTAATGTACCTATCTCTGTACATAAATTTCATTCAAATCAAAGGTCATTTCATCACACGTTCTCAATTTTCACACCTACAACATTAATATGAAAGCAAATAAGTGTCATCTGAAACAATGATTTCTGCAGAAAATCCAATGAGTGTGCTCTAATGAATTGAACAAATCTACGGCGGTATAAATGATCAATCAGATTCTATTCCTGCACCACTTAATCTTTAAAAATATTTTTCTCTTTTAATATTATTCAACATATATTACCTGCTATTAGGTTCCTCTTGCTCTGTTTCTTCTGTGTACAGTTTTCTCCTTTTACGCGGAGCTCGCTCTTTAGGCTTGCACACGTCACAGAACCAGTCACCCTCTGGCACTTTCTGGTGAGACAAATAATACAAAAATGCTTTATTGTCCACTACAAAATAGATACGAAAACTAGCTTTTACCGGCGACTCCGTTCGCCTGAAACAGAAATCGGTTCAGTAGTTTAGGCGTGAAGAAAAGGCAGACAGACAGAGTTACTTTCGCATTTATCATTTTTATATGTTGTAAGGTTATTTTTTAAAGGGCTGGGCAGAGGCGCTCTCTTGAGCCTACCGCCTAAGCGTGGCGATAATGACAATTGTTCAAATAGGCATTTTTCCAGCAATATACTATCAAAAGCGATTGATGAGAGTACAATTTTATTTATAATCAATCATCAATCATGATTTTTTTAAAGGGTTGAAAACTATCAAGTTGCTTCTGCCACTCTGTTTAGGGCGAGAGAAAGTGTCAGAATCTCATTGACTAAAAATCAACAGGTTCCTTCTCTTGCTCTGGGCCGGGGTCGCGGTCCGACACATAGCGCTTGAACCCACAACTCTAGCTCAAATCTCGTGACTTAGATTATAAGCATATAATAATATATAAAATAGTTCTTGTGAGTTAAGCGGAGTCTTTTGGAGTACATAGAAGATCTATACTAATATTATAAAGAGGTAAAATTTGTAAGTTTGCAAGTTTGTATGTAGGGGGTAGTCTATGGAACTGCTGGTCGGCTTGCCAAAATTCTTTGACTGATAGATAGCTACAATGTTCCTGAGTGCTATAGGCATCACGCTACTATCAAATGGGGCTGAGCAGCAGATGAAACTGCGTGAGAGTAGCTAGTATTTTATATTTTTGTAGTCAATACTATTAGTTTCACATACAATAAGTATTACATAGGTTTTGAATAAATAAACAAATAAATATCACATTACCTTAGGATACCCAGTGGCCTAGCAGCATGAAATCATGAAAATATACATAATGATAAAATCTATCAAGCTAAAGAATGGCTTAGGTCGACAAATGACAACAACACCAAAGGAGTTACGAGTGTTGCAAGCCTTTTGATGGGTTAGGAATGTTTTAAGTATAACTCTTGCATGCATTGTTATATGACTTGTCTTCCACACATTAAAATTTACAATTATAAAAAAGCTACATGCCTAACTTTAATTATTTTCCAAAAAATAAAAAAAAAACTTTGCCCTACACTAGCGGTCTTACTAATAAAGTTCGGTTACACACTTGTTTAACACTTTGATAGCTATTCATTGAATAGGGAGTTAGTAATACTTTATACAAGTCATTACCAATATTATTGTTTAAAACAATGCGTATACCTTGAATAACTATTTATTCCTTATACTGGTGATTGCTAGCAACATTGATGAAAGCGTTCCGAAACTTCCGAACAGAAACACTTCTTGACAATATTCTTGTATTATTATAATTATTTAATTATAATAATCAATAAAATACTTGATTTTGTAAAACAAAAAGAAGGTTTTAGGTTTTAATTAAGTTTTAAAATATTAATTTATCAATTCTTTGCGAAACATTTTTGATAAAAATGTTGATATTTCGAATGTACCTAATCAATGTCAAATACATTTTTGACACAAATTAGAGTCGTGGCATTAGAATTATACTTCGATAACCCAATTAGGTACTGAAAATATTCGTAACAGCTTTTAATAATAGGTGTTATACCTATTACTGAATATCAAGCCAATATTAGGGCAGCTGATCTTATATTCCTTTACCTATAATTGATGTGAAATAATGTTATAAGTATTAAGATACATTATCTCCACGTCAAACAATTTTAAAACTTCACAATTTCCTTCAAAATTTCGGTTTATATCGCCATCATACCCCATCTTCTGGTTAGTCAACTGCCAATCAGCTGGTTCTGACCAGTAGACATGTGAAATTAAATTAGTTTATCCTAATATATCAATGAACGAACAAATAAATAAGTATTACAAATATTGTATTCGTAATACGTATCTGTATCTATTACAGATATTTCGTCACACTTCTATGCCACGTATTAATTTTTATCCTATGCTTGATGCTTGATGTTGTGAATATAAATATCATCATCATCAGCCTATAAGTGCTCACTGCTGAGGAAAGGCCTCTTTTAATACTGAGAAGGTTTGAGCATTAATCACTACGCTTGCTCAATGCGGGTTGGCGATTACAAACTTACAATTGAATGAATACTCAGAATGAATATAAATATGTTCTAGTAAAAATAGAAAAGATTATGTTTATTTGGAAATAGTAATCCGATTGTTGTTTTGCCTTTTTAGGAATAACAACCTGGTTCTACCGACAAAAATAAAAATACTGACACTGGATGTTTGATTTTATTAAATATGCCTTATTCAAGCAATCACATTTCTAAAGTAACAAATTCTGCGATATGCGACACGACTTGCCAATACGATAGATACTCTGCGACACCCATTTGTGATAGATTACTGACTCGTTCCATGAATATCAGCTGCATCGGCTTGATCTTTTGTCGTGTAAAGGCAGGGCTCTAAAGCTATGCAGGCATGGATTTCTGCTGTGGGACCCTTAGTCCTATGTTGTACCTATATCATGAGATAGCAGATCAATAAATTCCATATTATGTTTCTTTGAAAATTTATATTTTCTTTATAAACTCTGCACCTTCTAATGAAAATATCATCGTTAGGATCATTGCGAAATTAATTTTCTTTCTTTTTTGTTGATTGTTCGGATTTCACAATCACTAAACACATTTTAGCAAAATAATGTAAAATCAATTTTATGAGTCTGACAGTTAAAATACTAAAATGATCGCTTATTCACACGTTATACTAGGTCCACGGGCTGAATAAGTCTTGTCTAACGTTTCATACAATTTTGACAATGGTTATAACAGCTGTATACGCGGGAAATGTCAAAAATTGATTATTAGTAATGAGTTTGCTATACCTCTGTTATAAGATGTGTGTAATTTTTTATTAGTAAGGGGGTAGGATTTCCTCCTGTGTCGTGGTCCTCCGGTTACAAACATACAATTTCACATAGACATCACACCCAGACTCAAAACAATAATTTGTGGATCACACAAAGAGTTATTCCATGCAGGAATCTGTCCTATATTATATTATATAATTTTCAAAGTTTCTTTATTTTTTCAGCTAATTATCAACTATCAATCATGATATTTGGCGCAAAAAACCTTAAACAGGAACAAAGAATCAAGCGAAAAGTTAATTAATATCTATTTTTTATTGACCTATTTGCTACTACCTAATCGTTCCCAACTGGAAACAAACCTGCAACACTTTGGGGCACCATATATTCGACATAGGACTATTGTCAAAAGAATAATAATAAACAAATTGATCAACTCACGGTAAGTTTAGGTTTCAAGCAGTAGAGATGGTGTCCCTTATTGCACCCATCACAGAGCAGCATATTATCAGGGTCGGTCTTCCTCCTGCAGAGCCTACAGCTAGTGTTCAGTATGCTGGCCGACCAAGTCACGCTGGAGTCCAGCGTGAACAGGTGCAGCATTATCTGCGAGAAACTCTTGCACTCCATCAGGGATACCTCCCAGCGCTGCAGAGCTTCTAGATCCAAGGGTTTGTTCCTTGCTTCTCTGTCTTTCCTTTCCTTATCGTCGAGACCTGGAGGGAGAGTTATATGCGATTATTGTTTCAGGCTTCCAAAAATTAATAATCTGGACTAACAATATGTTTTATGAATTTGGAGAAAATTTTCTACAACAAAGATGTTGTCCCAGGAGCATAAATCACATGCATCTATAATATAAAAATACACTCCGAAATAACAATTTGTAGATCATACAAAAAATATTCCGGTCAGCTCCATTATAGCGGGACTTAGCGCCTGTTTAACAATGCCTAAACCACTATGTTGCAAAATAAATTCTAATTTTGAACGTAATTTGCATTAGCTATGCGTCACATAACTTCATCGGGCATTTAAACAAAGGTAATGGAACAAGCCCTTATAATAATAGAACTGTAAAAACTGATGAGAATGATAAGCTGGTGTTTAACATTTACATAATAAGCTATATTTACCAAGTGGTCTCTTCAGGTACTTGTGGTTAATAGCTTGTGACACCTGCAGCAACGCTGACGCGAGTCCCCGGACGACGTCGGCCTTCGCCCCGGGCTCGGGAGGTTCATTTTTAACGCCGTTCACTTTGGGCGCTTCCAGGTAGTAGCCGGGGTCGCGGTATTTGTTCACTGCTATGCTTTTCATGTCTGATTCGTTGATGTCTGCGTAGAAAAAATGGTAAATTGTTTTAACTGAGTAAACTAACAATTTTTATTTTTGAATATTTACTATCTTGTGTCGTACCTGGGTGATTCTTCACATCAATTAAAAAAAATTTAATAATGTCATTATCCTCAACCGAAAATTAACGAGTCTGCTGATTAAAACACAGATATCTATTTTATTAAATTAAATCTCACCACTGCTTACAAGCAACCGATTAAAAATATTGTATAAAATAAATTACTAAGATGCTTAAAAACCTGGGAGGATAATGACTTGTTAAATAAAAGTTAAGGTTTTTTGGAGAATCACCCACCTAATTAATAAACTGTTTAAATATTAGGTAGTTACTCATTCACGTGAATCAATTGAGAAAAGCTCTTCAAGTTTCAAGTTACAATGGAACTCTTATAATGAGCAACGTGCTCGTCGTGGCGACGATTCAATGAATAAGTCGTTATTTCCAATTTTCATTATCAATATTTTTTTTAAACATTGCCCCACACTAGGATTTTCTCCTCTATCGTGGGTGCATTTACAAACATACAATTTCACATACACATCACACCCAGACCCGGAACAACAATTCGGGGATCACACAAAGAGTTGTTCCGCGCGGGAACTGAACCCGCGACGCGTTGCGCGGCAGCCGGTTGCCCAATAATAAATATACATATATTATTATATGTATACCAAATATGTCTTAATTTGTTAACTAGTTACGAGGAGGAGCGTAACAATCTCGACATCTGTTAATACTGTTCCAAAGACGAAGGTTCTTAGACGTAAATAGTGTTTTGACTGACCGGTGGGTAGTTTAAGCACTCCATCGGGCTGATGGTAATCGTCCCTGTACTGGTTGTCGGGTCCCCACGTGAGGTAGTCGGCCTGCTTGTCGTAGCCGCGCAGCATTATCGTGCCGCGCCACGCCTCGCGGTCCTACATAGCAAAACATTCATTGTTATACTCATATAACATACCAGTACACAATGATCACCTGAAGGTCTGTAGGAAGCTCCGAAAGTGCTACGAAGCTTGTCTCTAGGGGAGGAGATAGTGCCTTTAGTACTTTCATCCACATAGTGAAATCAAAACAACTAAGTACAAACTTTACGATATGAATGAAAGAGACATTTAAAAAGTGTGGGAGAGCCATGCCTGGGTACGAATGGGTCGGCTTGACCGGAATGATACCGCGGCCTTACATAAAACCGGCGTGAAACATCCACAATGTTGTGTTTCGCCGTGTGCCCAATCCTCCCCTTTGCCTAATCCCTAAAACTCCAAATCTTTAATCCCCAATTTTTTTTTCAGATGAGTTTTTGTTGTGATGAGACTACAATGTTAAACTTACCTTAACTTTGAGTGCTCCGAGTAACCCATGGAAGATTTTCTCCTCCAGCTCGAGGATATGGTCCCTGAGAGATAGCTCCAACGCTTCGGATAGCGTACTGTCTGCCGGCACGCTCAGCGAGGGCTGGAACTTGCGGTGCCGGGTGCCGTAGTGTATCGTTGGCGCGGGGGGAGCCTGCGGTATGAAATTACTGTGATTAATAGTTTAAAAAAAGATGAGGTTGCGGGGCAAGCGAAGTAAGGTACCAGGTTCTCAGCCTAGAGCAGAAGGAACCAAGGGGTTTTTAATCAGTAAGAGTCATATACCTCTCACCTAGTCTTAGGCGAGGGGAGTTATTTAATGATGTGCCATTCACATAGAACATTTGTGAAAGGATTTGGATGTCTTGTAATAGTGGATTTTTTTTTTGTGAAGGGATCATCAAATTACTTCTCCCGCCCAGGCGGGGGAGGGAGGGAGTGTCAGGTTCTTACTGACTAAAATCTCCCCATTCCTACTCCTGGTGCGGGCCGAGGCCGCGATGCCCTATAGCGCTTGCCCCGGAGGCCCGGCAGAGTGTAGCAGTAGATACATACGGGCGCGGCGGCGGGGTTGAGTAGATGCAGCGGGCAGGGCGCGAGATGCGCGAGGATGCGCGCGCGGTCGCGCTGCAGCGCGTGGCGCAGGTCGGCCTCGCGCAGGCCGCGCGCGTTCAGCGCACTCTCCAGCGCGGACAACTCGCTCGCTGAGTGGAACACCCACCATCGGGGGCGCTGGCTCTGGAACACGCACGAGAACGTTCGCTTTTATTTTACAGACCATATTTTTTTGTCGTATAGTGCCGTTCTATGACCTTTTTGCAAACATAAATTTTATTCCTTATGAGGTAGTGTATATTTTACATCAAAAAGAAATTACGTAATTGCAACTAAAACAATCCTACTAATATCCCATCCTAATCATACAATAAATGTGAAAGTTTATTCGAATATATGTTTGTAGCGTTGACCAGACACAACACTCATCTAGTCGAAAAATCCTGGACCGATTTGGTTGAGATTTGATATATTAATAGATGATACATAGGTTGCTTTCTATCAACATGCCACACGAGCAAAGCTGCAGGCAAAAATAGTGAAACAATAATATTATATTAAAAAACCTAGAGGAACCTATTTCCTATACAACTACTCTAAGAAGAAATGGCGAAAAGAATCAAAGATCAATTTTTTTCTGAACAATTCAAAGTTCTATAAGATTACAAGATAACATAAAAACAAGAAACAAACCAAATATACAAGTAAATTAAAAACAAAACAACCTAACAAAGTAATAACAACCATCAACAAGATATAAGAAAATGACCCATAAAACCAAATGCTAAGAACTGACCTTTCCATGCACAAGACAGGTATTAATATCCCCGGTACACATGAGCAGGTCCTGCAGTTGCTGGGTAGTGGAGTCGACGACAGTGCCGTTCATTTTGTGACTCAGTCCATTCAGGTTAGATAGTGGCTTCTTTGGAGAACTGCCGCGGGAGTTAGAGCCGGATTCATTCTCTTTATCACTTCCTGCTGTAAGTGAGAAATATTACATTCCTTACACATTGAAAGTGACATTAAATCGAGTTTATTTGAACTTTACCACTAAATAATTTTGTTTGAAATCTGTTTAATAGGTTTGAAGTTTGATTTAGACCTCAGTTTACTAAGTTATGTAGATTATAGGTTTTATTTTTAACTTTATTGCTAGATGATAACTTGAAATCTATTTAAAATTTATAAATTGCCTCGTTTGACCCAATTACGCAAAAAAATAGACCTGTAAAAATAAATGAAACAAACAAAATGTAATGAAATATTTACGCGGGTATTAACAGTATTAACGCCTGTGCAACCGGGTCGAAACGTCAAGCCTACCAATTTTACATTTTTCTTGATAATTATTAAGATACAAATATACTAACTACGCAAAAAATCATTACTTCGACAAGTTTACGAACATAATACATAGAAAAAAAATCTAAACAACAACGCTAATAAAATTCTAAACTATCAAATACGGTATCCAATTAGATTATTGAGTAAACTAGTAAGTATATTAAGACACAAATACATATCATACTTCCATCTTTACGCAAACAACATGTTGTTGCACGATAACAAATAAAATTCATCAGAAAATAATCTAAACGCCGCCGCCGCGTTTAGTACCAACTTCATTTCATTGTGTACAATAAAGCATAAATAAAAAAAAATCTAAACAGTAACACTAATAAAATTCTACACGGACAAATATCCAATTAGATCATAGAGTAAACTAGTAAGGTATGAATTGAGGACCTCTCTCCTTCTGCTGCTCGAAGAGTTTGGCGACGTGTGCCAGCGTGTCGTGGGCGTCGTGGGGCGCCGGCGTCACCGGCTTGTGGCGGCACGCCCCGCGGGGCTCCGCCCCCGCCTCCACGAACAGCCCCGCCAGCGACCGCACTATCCAGTAGCGGCGGAATGCACGGTCCGACCCTGAACACAATTTCAAACACATTTTTAAATATTACATTTGATAAGAAATACATTTTGGCACTGTTGGGTTGGTTCGACCAAAATGATACCACAGAAGGCTAGCGTAAAACCACTTCCCAAAAGACTACAAACTTGTAGCACTTCTAGCGTTGCAGGTGCCCATTGTTGGCATCGATTGCTTAAGTCACACGTCTTTTAGCTTATTGCAATATCAAATCACCACTTACCAATATAGGTGGTATACTCGAACAACTCCTCCTGGTACCCCTTCAACTCCTTCTCATACTGTTTCTTCTTCTCCTCGCTCTCGGCCATCAGTTTGTCTATGGCCACCTTCGTTTCCTCATCCACTGCCTTCGCCTTCTCCCCGGTCAGTTTATTCTCTTCCTTCTTAGCTAATGCTTCTTTACGAATCTCCTGTTTAGCCGTTATCAACTGAGCCTCGCGTTTCCTTTCATTTGTCTGTCGATAAAACAAAAGTAGACTTTATTGTTATGTTGTGAGAGTTTACTTTTGGTTGTATTTTTGTTAGTATTTTTGCTAATCGAAATTAAACTTTATTCTATAGTCGTTAAAGTTGATAATTGTATGTTAGAATGCACTGCTATGTAATATGTAAATACTAACTTGTAACACTCTGAGAGCTTGTTTAGTGTTCTTCATCTCTTCAAGTCTTTCTTCGATGACATCCCTCAAAGTAGCGTAACTCAGGATCTGGTTCATTAGGCACTGAAGCACTAAGAACTTGTCTTCTGCAGAGATAAATATTAAATATTACTATTTTGTGTTCATTGTTGTTTCATATGTACGAACATCCTCAAAACTGAATCCCTTGACACACTTCCTACCTAATAGGGTGGTCACGGAATGGAATAAACTCCCAGAAAATGTGATAAAAGCACCCACAGTTAATTCTTTTAAAAACAGACTCGACAATATCTCCAAATCCATTAATACGCACGCATCAGCTTTCTAAGCTGCTAGTGTGTTTAAGTATATAATAATAATATGTAGGGGCCCAAAGAAAACACGTTAGCTAGAATGCATATAACATCATTAGCCTATTAGTGTGCGAGCGCCATGTTTTTTGGCACGAATGGGTCGGATCGACCGGAGTGAAACTACGGCCTTGCAGAAAATCGGCGTGAAACAAACACAGCGTTGTGTTTTGCCGTGTAGTGAGGTTACCGGAGGCGCAATATTTCAATTTTTCCCCTCCACAATCCCTAAATTCCCAATATCCTAATCCTTAAACATTCGGCAATGCACTCGTTACTCTTTAGTTGTAGCGGCGCTGATAGCTTACCATCAGGTCATTCGTATACTCATCTGCCGTCTTCTATACTAATATTATAAAGAGTTAAAATTTATAAAGAGTTATTTGTAAGTTTGTATGTAGGGGGTAATCTTTGGAACCGCTGATCGGATTGCCAAAATTCTTTCACAGTCAGAGAGCTACAGTGTTCTTGAGTGCTATATGCTATAAAACATTACGCTACGATCTGTAGGAGCCGAGCAGAGGTTGAAACCGCGCGAGAGCAGCTAGTAAAAAATAAAAAGGAAAGAGAATGCTTACCAAGCGCGAGGTCAGCAACGTGCGTGGAGTGCAGGGCGCGGAGGAGAGAGGGCCGCTGCACGCGGAGGCGGAGGCCGGCGTCGTCGGCGCTGGTGTACCCGCCGCGCGCCTGGTAGCGCCACGTCGCGCAGCGCCCGCCCGGGCCCGCGCCCGACGACAGCAGGTGCAGTCTACACCATACACGCACACATCACACACCATTCCACGACAGACACAACTTATCCAAACCCCAATCCCACTTATCCCCCCTCCCCCACAACACTATACTACATTACTTCTACACACAAAAGACTGGCAACACATTTGTAAATCATTTGGTATTGCCGTGCCTGTTGTAAATCATTTTGGTCTGGTCATTGCCGAGCCATAAAAAAGAAACTGCATAGTCTCTCATTTTTTTCTAAGATATAGGTAATGGTATGATATTGTACTATTCAAATGTAATAAAATAAGAGTCAAAATGTTTTCAAAATCTCTAATCATAACTTACTTAACCAAATTTTGTTACTAAAACATTGTCCCACACTGGGCTCTTCTCCTGTGTTGTGATAGTTAAAACAGTCAAATAATGTCTCCTTTTCGTTTACTGACCTTAAAACTTCGCTGACTGTAGTGGGGTCTAGGGGCAGCTTGCTCAGCGGAGTGCCAAGATATGTTTGTGACCATTTGCTGGCTTTCGTTGCCAACTCCATCGCCTTCGTAACTCCCACCTCACTGTCTGTCTCTTTATCCTCTGTAAAATCATAATTATCATATGTGTAGTTTTTGTCACTAAGGGCTGATTTTTCAATATTCAGGCAAATGTTATTGGACAGTCTTATACAAACATTCTGACGCGACAGCATCATAAATAATCCCTAGGAAACATTTCATTTCATCTATGTGACTTTTGTTTGTAGAAAACTAAAGTAAAATTATTGAGATCAATAAAACAACAAATTGCTGAGACTTTAATTTTACGACTCCATACTCCTTTTTCAAATTCATATTATAACTTAGGAAAAAACACTGTTGGATAGTCCGCTCACCTAACGAAAGAGACTATTATTACGCTACGACTAACGGAAGCTGATCAGTAGGTGAAACTGCTAGCAAAACCTAGTTATCATTAAGATCACCATTAAAACAACACTCACCTTCTCCAGTGGACAGTTGTATCCGTCCATTCTCATTATACTCCTCAGCTTCATCCTCTTGCAAGGAAAATACTGTCGTCAGGAACATCTGAACCAGGTCGCTGAACAGCCCAGCATGTTCCTTCTGTGTCAGTGCCTTCCTGAATGTCTCCAGGTCCAGCTGCTGATTGTGGAATACATCCTTCACCTTGAGGATCTCCGAGTATTGGTGGACAAACTCCAAAACTGAGAGGAAATCACCAAAATGTTCATGTGGTATCCCTTCCACGTCTACCAAAGTTCCTGTTGGTAATACCTGTGAAAAGGGGGATTATGTTTTGGTTAATTAAATTATTAGTGTTGTGTTGCCAAGCAGAAGAATTGAACAATATCTGTATAAATGAAATTTCGCATAAGCCACATTCATATTAGTCGCATTTCAAATATCTGAATGGTAACTAAGAAGTTGGAAATCTATAAGATGGTAAAACAGACTATTAGATAACTCTAATGATAGAATTTTAATTATCGAGGAAGAGGTTATAAAGAGGTTATTAATAATATTTTTTATTGAAACTTATCTTAAATACTCACTTTATGGTCCTCAAGCTCTATATCATCTTTGACTTTCTGCCATTCCTTCATATAAGCCTGCAGCCGCGCAGTCTTCTCCTTTTTGCGCAATCTTTCCTCTTCCTTGCGCTGTCGCATCAAATCTTCTGCTTTGCGCATCTTTTCCGCCATTTCTTGCGCACTCTTCTTAGCTGCCGGGTCCGTTGGAGGCTTGTTCTTTTGTGCTGCAGAAGAATTCACTGATATTAAGTTTATATATTTAAATAAATAAGAAATAACTATTACGATGTTCTTTAATAAAATCGAGATATCTTTAAAAAATTTAAGATTTTTATCATCAGAAATTGGAGTGTGTTTTTACATCTAATATATAAAATTCTCGAGTCTCAGTTTTCGTTGCCATACTCCTCCGAAACGGCTTGACCGATTTTGATGATTTTTTTTTTGTGTTTATCCGGTATCTATGAGAATCGGCCAACATCTATTTTTTATCCCCCTAAATGTTAGGGGTAGTCCACGGCAAATTATTTTTTTTAAGCCAATTTTTTTAATTTCTAATTTTTTATGATACAACATACAAATATACATACAATCCTCAATTTTCACCTTTCTACGATCAACCCTTATTTTTTAATAGCCAAAAACGGTCAGCTAGTAATGCATAATAAGTAGATCCCTAATCAAACTCAGTACTCTAATTGGAATGTTCAAAACAATACTTTTCTATGCATTTTGTAGGAGACTATAACTTACAACATCATCATATTTATTTTTGACTGTGTAAACTACTTAATTATATGATGGCCTGAGTACAATTTTCTGTTTGAGTAATCACTTACCTTCAGCTTTATCTGTTTTCTTCACAAACTTGTCCATGGACTCCTGGCGGCCTTTCTTATCAGGGCTGGGTTTTTTGACAGTCTTGGCCAGTTTGGAAGCGGACCCTGGCTTAGCTGGGCCTTTGGAAGCTGGTGGTGACTTTAAAAGCTTCTTAGAAGAAGGAAACACTGGTGGATTGCCAGTGAATATTTGGTCAAAGCTTACTTTGTTTATATTGTACTTTTCTTGTGCTGATTTCTGTAGGACAGAAGATTTAAAGTTAATAAGTAGTCTGTATAGCTTTTGGAGCTAATAGGAAATAACGAGAAAATTGATTTAAATTTAAAAAAAAGTTATATTTATCTTTTACAGTGGACTAGTTAGGTATATTAATAGTTTTCTGCATAAAAGTCAAGTTTTAATTCAACTTACCTTAATAGCGATAACACCATCAGGACCACCTTCGACAAACTGTTTAAGGAATAGGCGGTTCTTATCACGTGTGTAAACACCCTTGCGCCTGCGCACGCGGTCTGAGGGCGCTGTGCCTATCTGCCCAGACTCGGAGGGGTCACTCTCATGATACTGTTCCACCTCATAGCAGTATGCTGTTGATGGTAACATGGCTTTGCTGTGAAGGAAAACAAATGGGTGATAACAATTATATGTGAGTCTTATATTCAAGTTAGTTCCTGTGAGAAGTAGATTGTTTTTTTAAACTAAGTACCTAAGTTTCGAATTTTACAACTGGAGTGAAAAAGGGTGCGCGTTAGTACATATTCTAAACACATAAATTCACAATAATAATAATATATAAAAGTCTGTTATATACTTTATGTTTTTATCAAGATTTGATAAGAAACAATGTAGTTTTGACTTTTGATAATAAGTATGTCTAATGAGACCAAACTGTTTGATACTGCAGATCATTGACCTAATGTGTTGTTAATGTTTCAGAAGGGAATCTTTTGAGACTGTCAGACAGTCATGTTCCCATATAAGTATCAATTGGTGTCTACTACTATACTATTTTTAATAAAATGGCTCCTATTTCTTTATATTTTAAATGTTATGTAAAAGCAATTAATACAATACTTTAAGTATTATTTAAGTAATCCCATTTGAATTATGACCTATGTGTATTTATACTGAAACTGTATTCCTTTTCCATTATTGTTAAGAAAGAGAATGATAGTGAAAAAAAGAAAGATAATGAATGATACTGTAAAAAAACCAGAAGGAATGATGTATCATTGATTGAATTGGATTTGGCAATAAAGGCTATTTTAGTCAAGAAAACCAATTTACTGCCTAAGTTACTCCTTTGTTAATAAAACTTAGTAATTATCATTCTAAATATATTCTTAATGTAGGTTTCATTCAATTTGCACTCTATTTAGAACTCTTATTTAAGTTATGTGTGTCTATTGAAGTATAAACTATCTTAGGAACCTTTTCATATTAAGATATTTTGTTTATTTTAATTTATACAAAATAAGTTTTTTGAATTTTTCACAACATAACTGTGTATGCATGTTATATTTCAATCGCAATAGGTCTGCCAATATAACTAGACAGGCCAAAAACTAATAAAAAACTAATTGCTTTTATATCCTGCTAGTGTTTTTCTTTTTAAAGACATTACAATAAGAACCTACATGTTTTCCAACTTATGTAAAACAACTGAATAACTTAATGAAATAAAAAAGTTTTACTTATGATATTATATCATTTTTCTCTGTTAAATTCTGTTGTTTTTACATTATTTTTACTTAGCAACATGACAAATTAATATTTGACTCATAAATAAAATTTAAATAATATTTAGATCATATAAGGATACTTGGTGTGTACAGTACATACATAACCTTCAGAGCAAAGAGTTTAATTGTCATATTTTTTGTTAATGTTTTTTTTAGAAAGGTATATTGTACCTACTTGGTATTGGCTCAGTCAAGGGGTTCAAGGTCAAATGTGGTTGGGTCTAGAGAAACTCCAAGTTTCCATAGATATATTGTTGAATGGTATTAGGAGGATAGTTTGTCTATGTGCCTATGTATAGAATACCTACTGTATGTTTTTCTTAAGATGGGTACTTGTAATATTTATTCATATTACTTTTATTATTGATTTGATTATTTTGTTAATTTAATATTATTTATCTGTAGTTTTTATTCTAAGGTATTGTACTTTAGTTTAAACTTACCTGTCTGGATGCTGTTTCTGTGCTGTGATGGACAGTATGTGAGCCTCCCTCCACACTTCTCCCTCCAGACAGGCTTCAACTGTCTCTCCCACAAAGTACCTGTCCCTCACAAAGTTAAACACATCCTCTGACATCTCAGCAAAGGAACACCTCTTGGTTCTCATTGCTAAATACAATATGGGTATACGGAGCTCCATGGGAAAATCTTTCAGGGCTCTACGAGCTGTCCTCTCACTATGCAATGCTTCTGAGTATGTCAAGTTATTCTTTCCTGTCATCTCACACGTCCATACCATTGAATTGACGAGAATGATCCTCTCGCAGTATTCCCTGTAAATAAACATTCATCAAATATCATCTAATTATGATAAAAATTATGACGCGAATGACAGAAATAGCGAAATATTGTGTCACGCTCGCGTTGTTGCGCGACCCGCCGCGCGCTGACAATGCCAACGGTCCCCGTAAACTGATAACTACAATTTAAACACAAGAATTTCGCGAAAACTCGGCGATATTGTTGTTTACACTAATACTTACTCATAATCTTTGAATATCTCGTCGGTGATCTCGCAATGGAAGACCTCATCGTCATCCCTGAGGTACTCCGACGCCTTTGATTTCTCAAATGCTTTCCTTTTTAACAGAGGCATGTTGAGAGTTCGCGGGTCACCACGGTGGGAAAACGATTTACAATCCGATTCAACTAATCACTTGTATTCAATATCACTTAACTTTGTACGGCGCATCTATCCCCACGTTCCATTGAATAGCACATTAGGAAATTGATAGATTTTACAAAATATTTCAAGAGAAAAATGTTGCGTGGTTTCGGTTGACAAGCCAAAAAACGGCGCGCTGAGGCGCTTCTTTTTACGCCAGAAACATATGAACTGGGTTAAGGTATCACTCCGGTTTCTACTAAAGTGGTAGAAATTATTCCTACCTATGACTTTTCATTCCGATCCCATCTAACTTATATAAGTGCCTACGTAAATTTATGGCTAGATATGAACCCAAAAATTATATGTTTAAACGTAATAAATTAACCCTCAATATCTAATAACAGGTTTTCATGGATAATTCCGTTACTAGGGTAGGCATAAACTAGGTTACATTAGGAACTAGTATTACTATAGTTTTACAAAACCACAAAATTAAATGTTGCTAGCCAGTCCGTCGCACGACATTCTAATAGCCGGTATGTGCACTAGATAGATATAGACAGCCCGCACTGAAGATGAAAATACCTATTCCCTCACTTTAGTGGGGTATAGTAAGATCGGCTAATGAATGTCTGATTGATTGAGTACCTAATCAATGTATAGTTCGAGACCAGGCAATACTCGTTGCAGTTTTTCTATTTAAGGTGCGTTCTGGGAATGGTTACTTTGTAAAGTGCCTGTATGAAAACGGAGTTAGACATTTGGTGCCTCATTGCGAAAAAATGGAGATCATAACTCCATTAATTTCATTTTAATTAATTGCTATCCTTTATTCGTAAGTATTTTATTCAATATTTTATAATGACTTAATTTCAACAATGTAAAGTGTCGGAGAGCCAAACTTCGGCATAAATGGTTCGGCTCGACCGGAATGATACCACGGCCTTACACGGCCTACAAAACCGAAAAAACAACAAATATAATCAAGTTTATTTGTAGTTTGAAAGTTCTCTATTCCTCAAATAATAAAAAAAAAAATATATTGAATTATTGCACTTTTGAGGACAAGAGTAACTGATTGATCTCACAGGTCAAAAAAGAAGAACAGTAGCTTAATTTGTTTAGTTATATGGTATCACTGAACTAAAATTCCTTCGATCATTCTACGAATTCATTCACAATTTCTATTATTTTTGTCTATGCAAATTTTTGTTCTAATGAACGTAGTTTTTTAATAATTGTCAAACAAGTAATATGCGGTTTATGTTTATTAATCTTTTGTGTGATTTGTAAAGTGAAGTTGCAGTAATTACATTAAATTAATGTTACACGGTGTTCTTTAAATTTATTTAAAATGCCGAAAGAACAATACCGCGAGACTTATGTCGGGCGAAAAATGTGAGTGAGGTTATGTTTACTACATCATATGGTATTATATGTTATCACAAATGATTGGTTTCTACTGAAATTATACAAGCTTTACTGATTGGAACGTATGTTTCAACATCTTTTTATATGTGGTTTTGGCTGTATGTGGTTAATTTTGTGTGAAAAGAGGTATTTTTAGTAAATTCTGTGTTCAACAGTTCGCACGTCACTTTCAATGTGGATAGTCCAGCTGCTATCCAGCAAGCTGCTCACATCCAGGTCATCACCAAGAACCTGTATGCTCAGGATGGCCAGAGGGTACCAGCGCCGTATGGTGTACTGGACAGGAGAATGGTATGGGCAGTTAAATTGTTTAATTTAGTTACAAAAAGTATAATGGGAGAAAATCTGTCTTTTTGAAAAGGAGATTTATGTGTTCTTATAGACCCTTTTTCAGACGGTTGTTAATCTGAAACTACTTGACCAATTTGAAACTGTCTTTCCCTGTTGGGAAGTTACCCTTTCTCCAGTGAACAACGGCTAAATATTTTATCAAAGTTAGTGATGTATACTAAATCTTCAACAGTGTAATTGATAGTGTGAAAAAATTAAGAATTTAACTATGTTGTATGTGTAAATACTCTACTATATATTATACTTTAGTTTGTAAGTCTGAATATTAAATTTAATCTACAAAATATATTATGCCTTCAGTATTTAAGCCTGTTTTTCTATATTATTATAGGATGGATATACTTAATGCATATAAATTTCTGATACGGTACATAGCATAGGAGTACAGTTTAGTAATGTACTGTTGTGTTTATCCAGGGTACCAATCAAAAGGATGCCAACTGTGACACATGCGGGCTGGGTCTGGCAGAGTGTGTCGGTCACTACGGGTACATACATCTGGCCCTGCCCGTCTTCCATGTTGGATACTTCCGGTCTATCATTACAATACTACAGACCATTTGTAAGGTGAGTTAAGGATAATTTGTAATTGTATACTTTTATTTATATCAAAATAATGATGAAGGGGTCTGGTCCGACTTGATACAGAACATTTTTGAGTGTAGTGGAGTTTTTTTATTTTAGCATTTGACTGCCGACAAAAACTGTTAAAGGCTGTGTTAATCTGTATCTGTATGGTAAATAGGAATTGCTTTGTCAATGGTGCACTTTGCTAAAAAAACAAAAGACTGCCATTGAGTTACCTGGACACAGCAAGGCAGCTATTTGTTATTACGATTTTTTATAAGAAACCCATTATTAAGATTTTATTTCTTTTAAATACAAGTTATATTCCTCTAATATGGCTGAGCGAGATACAATGCACTCTTAATCATATGTTGCTTGTGACAGATGAAAGGTTAATAGGCTTATTTTAATTCCACAGAACTGTTCAAGGGTAATGCTAGCGGAACCTCTAAGGAGGGCTTACAGGCGAAAATTCATGAATCCTGAGCTATCCTACTTGCAAAAGAAGAACCTTCGAGCTGCAGTCCACAAGAAGGCGAAGGCTTGCACTAAATGCCCTAACTGTGATTCTTTGAACGGCATGGTGAAGAAGAGTCCAGCTGGTATCCTTAAAATTATTCATGACAAGTATCGTACTAAGAAGCCCACGGATGCTGTGGTGAAGCGAGTGCTCAAAGACTTTCATGAGGCTAAAGAGTCTAACAAGGAGTTAACGACCATGATCAACAGCGGACTTATTGTTGAAATGAGTCCTGTGGAGGTTAGTTGATTCAATATTAGAAGAGAACTTTCCTGAGAACAAATTGTATTAGTTACATTTACATATTAATTGTTCTTTAACTATATATCAAAACGATTTCCCCAGGTCCTAGACATATTCCGCCGCATCCCGGACGACGATATTCCTCTGCTGGGAATGAATGGTCTAACGCGGCCGGAGCACCTGATCCTGACCCGCCTGCCCGTGCCACCGCTATGTATCCGACCCAGCGTCGTGTCTGATATCAAGGCTGGCACGTAAGTTCTTTGTTTATCAAGTTCTAGTACCTTCAGAGCTTACAAATTGCCATTTGCCAATGTTAATAAGCTTTAGCTTCGCTCATATGCTATATCCAAATGAGTTGCCGGTGTTTTGACGATATTAATATGGAAAAAAAAACTTACAGGAATGAAGACGATTTAACAATGAAACAGTCGGAGATTCTCTTAATAAACGACGTGATATCACGACATATTGCGAGCGGAGGCAAGAGCGAGCTCGTGCAGGAGGATTGGGACTACCTACAGCTACACGTGGCTCTTTACATCAACAGCGAAATGTCAGGAATTCCGCTATCGATGCAGGTAATTTATTAATACATTTTGTCTTTATAAATTAGAGGTTGAAATCGATTAAAGTTTTTCTTAGATTTGTCTTAGGCCTTTGAGTAAGTTAAATATAGTATAAATAGTTGAAAGACTGATCATCAAGATTAAATGTACCTAAAAATTATCAAAATTTTAATATTTTTCCCTAATTCCACGTATATATGAAATTAAACTTACAGAATACTTAAAGGTTACTTTTGTATTCAATGGAGTACCTCAAGGTCTTGCCCTGGGACCGTAAATATTAATTTTATTTTAAAAATTCATGCTTCTTTTCAGCCCAAAAAACCAGGTCGTGGTTTAGTACAACGTTTGAAAGGCAAGCAAGGTCGCTTCCGTGGTAACCTGTCAGGGAAACGTGTGGACTTCTCAAGTCGAACTGTCATTTCTCCTGATCCCAATCTGCAAATTCAAGAGGTACACAATTTTGTAATAGTTTCATTCTACATCATCTCAAACCATGTTGGTCTAAATTTCAATAAGGTTAAAAAAAATTGTAAAGTTAACCAAACTTAGCTTAAATAAGCCATTTTAAACCTTACATACTCTAAAAAAGTTACAAACTCCATTACCATTCTCCCAGGTTGGTGTGCCAGTACACGTGGCGAAGATATTAACGTATCCAGAGCGCGTGTTCCCTGCCAACCTGCAGTGGCTTCGGAAGCTGGTCTGCAACGGACCTGACGTGCATCCTGGAGCCAACTACGTGCAGCAACGAGGACTAAAGCATAAGAAGTACCTCAAGTATGGTAATAGAGAAAAAATTGCCCAAGAGTTGAAGGTAAATATTGTCTTAAAGTTCATTATTTATTGCCATAGTTTATAAGTTTTCTCTGCTTTTAAAGGAGATCGGTCATACTTTCATAGCTTATTTAATACTATTATTTATTTATTGATCAAATATTTAAGTTTTACGATTTAAAGAGAATGTCCGACAAAACTATACGAATAGTTTGTCTGTCCTCTGTCGAATCTAATTTTATTAACTTTAATCTTATGCACTAAGTTCACAATTAAAATAAGTTGTTTTGTTGTTGAGAAATTACCAAAAGAAATCTAAGTTTTGGAGATCAATTAATCAATCGAAGTGTTGCGTTTGTGTTGTTACCGATGGTACAGTCTAACCTATAACAATCTTTTTAGAGGATATCCCTTTGTTTAGCACCAATTATTTATGAGAGAAATACGCTAGTAACTTATTTTCAATACCTATATTTAAACATTACGATGATTAATTTTCTGTCGAGTGGTTCAATGGTAATGTGTTTTCATGAATACGCTTTTAAAGTAACGTGTATCTCTATTTTGTAGTGTGGCGACATAGTGGAGCGCCACCTAGTGGACGGAGACGTGGTACTGTTCAATCGCCAGCCCTCGCTGCACAAGCTGTCCATCATGTGTCACCGCGCCAGGGTACAGCCGCAGAGAACCTTCAGGTATCTATACACTTCTTTTCAATAACTTGGACTTATTATAATAACTAGCGACCTGCCACGGCCTGAGAGCAATGCTCATACAAAATAATTAAGATGAGGCTTAATTATTTTGTTAATAGTAGATGGCGCAGCTATCGAAAAAAGTCTTCTAGGTCATGAAAAATAAGAGAAATAATCACATAATAATAACGTTTACAGGTTTAACGAGTGCGTATGTACTCCTTACAACGCGGATTTTGATGGTGACGAGATGAATATGCACCTCCCGCAGACTGAGGAGGCGAGGGCCGAGGCACTCATACTTATGGGGGTAAGCATGTCTTGTTAAATTAAATATTGTGCATAACAATCGCTCTCATCACGTAGTTTATACCCGGATGGAGTTGTACTCTGAATGACTGTGGTTCGATTCCCGCACGGAACAACAACAACAACGACTCTATGTGTGATCCACAATTTTTTTTTTTTTTTTTTTGTGAGGGGAAATCATCAAATGACTTCTCCCGCCCAGGGTCAGGCGGGAGGGAGTGTCAGACTCTTACTGACTAAAAACCCCCCTGTTCCTTTTCCTGCTCTGTGCCGAGGTCGCGGTGCCTCATTGCGCTTACCCCGCAATCCCGGCTGGACATCAGCCCTATAGGGCCCCGTCTGTGGTGGTCTATTGGCTCTTCGAGGCGCGCGCGGAACGCTACGCGCCGTACGCTCGGGGTTGTTTCGGGTCTGGGTGTGATTTGTACTTGACGTTCAAAAGTGCCTTTTGTGGTCTATTTGAAATAAAGAATTGGATTTGATTTGATTTGTATGTTTGTAAACGGAACCCACGACACAGGAGAAAATACTAGTGTGGGCAACGTTTTATTATAAAAAAAAGAAATTATTTCTATTTCTTATTTCTTTCTTTCTTCTTTTTTTAACGAATATTTGTACTCATTTAACATATATAAAACCTGATTGTCACAGAACAAATCCAACTTAGTGACACCTCGTAATGGAGAACTGCTCATCGCTGCAACTCAAGACTTCATCACTGGTGGATACCTGATGACCCAAAGAGACACCTTCTTCACAAAAGACGAGGCAAGTCAGCTGGCTGCCTGTCTCCTCGCTGGACCGGACGCCACCATGAGGATCGATATGCCACCCCCAGCCATACTCAAACCCAGGAAACTTTGGACAGGGAAACAGATTTTCAGGTAAGTGTGTATTTTTCACTTTCTTTATTTGGTTAATAAGCTTTTATGTAGACTGGTAATTAGTGACCTACTAGTAGAAGTAGGTTCTATATCTCTTTAACTTTTTTTTATATTTCTGGTACAACATACACATCTGTAATTAATAAAGGCATTGGATGCGTCGAAGTCCATCTTCATGCATACATATACCGATATCAATTACGTGGTTGTGCTCAAGTAAGTTTCCATATACTTAAATATGAAATCGTTAATAACTCGATTAAATACTATCTAGAAAAAGAATTGACTGGTCTTTGTTTGTTTTTCTCCATACTTTTTCATTTCTTATCTAACCTCTCCTCTCACTAAACCACTACTAATGTCAATGTATGTAATAAAATTTATTCTCTTTTTATAGTCTAATAATGAAACCTAACAAGAAGTGCGAGGTGAAGGCCAACTTGGAGACCAAGGGCAAAAACTATACTGGCAACAAAGATATGTGCGTGCAGGACTCGTGTAAGTACTGTAATCTTTCAAAATTGTAATAAAACCTACATCGATATTGCTGTATACAAAACTGATTTAAAAAGAGTAACCATGGAGTTTCTTGCTCGTTCTTCTCCATCGGAATCTACACTTTGGAACGAGCAAATAGCTTCACAAAGAGGACTCACACTTTATATCTTTAGAACTTTGTTCGACGTTCAAAAGTGCCTGTAATGGTCTAGTTGAAATGATTATTTTTGACTTTTGACCTTTGATTCAACATCAACATCATCAGCCTATAAGTGCCTAGCGTTGACCAAATGCCTCTTCTTACATGGAGAAGTTTTCAGCATTAATCACCAAGCTTGCTCACGAGAGAAATAATTTCATGATTTTCCTCTCTCAAAAGAAGTATTTTTTAGCAAATTTAGTCATAAACATTCTGTGCGATTAAAAATTTGTATTATGATAAAAAACTATGAATAACTCTTTGTTTCCCCACAGATGTGATAATAAGAAACTCGGAGCTGCTCTGCGGGTCTATGGACAAAAGTACCTTGGGTTCCGGCACCAAGAACAGCATCTTCTACATCCTGCTGAGAGACTGGGGGGAGGAGTACGCGGTCAGAGGGATGTGGAGGTAATTCTACGAGGAGTTCTAATGTATACATTTTCATCTGTTTAGGTCATTCAATAAATGTACCTAATCAATGTTTTTGACTGGGAGTGCGGTAGTGGGGCAACTGGCTGCCATGCAATGAACAACTCTTTAGGCGATCTACAAAATGCTGTTCTGGATCTGGTTGTGACGTATATTATATATTTGTGAAATTACACAGCTACTGCTTAGAAGAAAATACTTGTGTAGCGCAATGTTTAAAAACAGTTTTTTTCTGATCCTCAATTTCCCGAACTGAAATTTGGGAGGCTTTGCAATGCAATAACCAAGGAAAATTTGGTTTCGGTTTTATTTGTATATTTATACAAATATAGATTAAAAACTTACCAATACTCAAACCATACATTTATTGTGTATTGAGTACTGAATCAAATTGACACTTATTTCTAAAGAAATAAGGTTAATATTCAAACAATACTTGTATGTCTAGATTAGCGCGCATGGCGTCCTACTACATGATGAATAGAGGCTTCAGTTTCGGCATCATCGACGTCACGCCAGGGAAGAAGCTTATCGAGGCGAAGAATAAACTGCTTGAAGCTGGGTGAGTGGACATTTTGGATCACTTTTTTATGAAGTAATCCGGCAAATGAAACAATGAATTTGTTCTTGTTCATTGGCCATAAAATAGTTCTTTTAAATGTCCAAATTATATGTTAGATGAAGCCGGCATTTCCTATCTGACTTCTCTGAGAAGAAATGCCGAAACAAAATCAGAGGTCATAAACGAATTAAGGATTACCTGAGGGTATCCAATCAGTGCCGCCCAAAGACATCCGGATTACCAGAGAAGTTATAAGTGCGTTGCAGACCTTTTGGCATAGATAGGAGAGGGACGGGGCAAAACAGTACAATACAATCTAATAAATTTGATTGTTAAGCTATTAATAGAGTTTCTCTGGTTCCAGTTGGTTTGACTCCAAGTAGAATCAAGTATAGAATACCAATAGACCATTCTTTCCCCTCCCCATCCCCAGAAGTAACTAAATGATTTTCGCACCTCAAAAATGGTCCCTTATTATTACATGACTAGCTACTCTCGTGCGGTTTCACCCGCTGCTCGACACCATTTTATCGTAGCTTGATGTTTTATAGCCTATAGCACTTAGGAGCAATGTAGCTATCTGTCAGTGAAAGAATTTTGGCTATTCGACCAGCGGTTTCAAAGATTACCCCCTACGTACAAACTAATTTTAGTATAGATTACTTTTCATACATTAAGTCCGCCTTTTGTACCAACTTCATTTCATTGTGTACAATAAAGCATAAATAAATAAATACAACCGTTGAACAGTGGCCTTTATCCTTACCCTCCCCTCCCCCTTCTGGTCTTAGGTCCGGACCATGGACACCTGCCGTCCATGGTCACCGATTGCTTATCAGGTGATCCATCAACTCGTTTGATGCCGTTCCATGGAAATGTCTTATGTCACTATTCTATGTTTCCTAGTGATAATTGTGGTTTATCCTGACAGGTATTCAAAGTGTGATGGCTATATCCTGGAGATGGAGAAGGGCACGCTACAGTGTCAGCCTGGCTGCACCATGGAGGAGACCCTGGAGGCTGTCATGCTGAGCGAACTCAGCAGCATCAGGTGAGGATGAGATGACCTTGTTTAGTGTTTCAGATTTCTTCTAAGACCTTGGCGTTGAATATCTATTGGCTACTAATTAGGTAGTTTCCTAGGTCAAAAATAAATTAATTCGACGTTTCAATACAATAAATTATTGTAAAATACTTTTGTTCATCGGTCAATCGATATACAATTTTATTTATATTTTTAAGAAAATTTTAAGAAATAAGTATTCCATTTGATACATAAATTTCATAGAAAAGTATAGTTTTTGACATTTGGTTAAAAGTATTGAATTTGACTGCTTGGAAACTACCGTATTCTTCTGCACCGTTGGCGTAGTGGCTGGATGACATAGTATTTTTGTTGATCTGGATGTGATGCACCTGCTTATATGTAATATGGAGGAACTTCCAGTGGATGGCAATCATATTTTAAAGCAATAGTATAAAAGATGTTGCTTTACCCGTTGTATCGTTTTTAATAATGAAATTGTTCCATATGTATTTAGTTTAAATACGGTCAATCGGAATGCGCAAAACCTATGTAATTCAAATCTATCAATATGTTTTCATATTTTGTACGCGTTACCTAGACGAAAACTAGCCTATGTGTTATTCTAGATTATAAATTTAAGTCTGAAAATTTTCATCAAAAACCACTATGACTACGATACGTGAAAAAGTAACTAATAAAATCTATCCTTCCATACTTAGAAACTTTCGCGTTTATAATAAATATTTGTAGTAAAGTTTGTTTTGTGTATACATTGATTTATTAATTAACTCACTAGACTTTATTGTCTCGTACAGAGAGTTGGCGGCTAAGGCGTGTTTCCGAGAGCTGCACCCCACCAACGCGCCGCTTATAATGGCACAGAGTGGCTCTAAAGGTTTGTCAATTATTTGACTAAGTACATAAAAGTGGTCCCTTTTCTTAGGACTTACTTCTCTGTTGTTGGTGCGATTACATACTCATGACAACAATTTCTAAATCACAAAAAGAGATTTTTCGTGATAAAATCAAACCCCCGACATGATGCATGGCAGTCGACAACGTTGCAGTCATTTTTACAAGCTATGTTTTAAGCTTTGTATATTAATTTGGACCTAATTGCAAAGTAATGTATAATTTTTATAGGATTAGTTTTAAATAATAATTTGACTTTTATCGTAACACTATGCTTGTTACCTTTTTTTATTGTTGTGTTATTATTTTTTCCTAATTATTGTACATGCCAAATAAATTATTTTTTTATTTCTTTCTTTCTATCCGTTCGTATCGCGTTTATAATATTAGTAGGATATTTAATAGTGTGCTTGTATATGCAGGTTCGAATATCAACATATCGCAGATGATCGCATGCGTGGGTCAGCAAGCTCTGAACGGCAAGCGAGTGCCCAACGGGTTCGAGGACAGATCCCTGCCGCACTTCGAGAGACATTGTAAGTCAAAGTAACAACCACAGCGTTGTGTTTCGCCGTGTCAGTGAGGTTACCGGAGGCTCAGTCCTTCGCCTTCCCCAAACCCTATTCCAAGGTCCTAATTAAAAGGTCGAAAACGCACTCACAATTTTTCCGTTGTGGCCATGGCTGTCCATGGGCGGCGTTGATTGCTTATCATCAGGTAAAAGTCTGGGGGAGACAAGCTTCGGTACGAATGGGTCCACAGCTCACAGAAAACCGAGGCCCGTGTAACCGGAGGCCCGATCCCTCCCCCTCTCCCATCCCTTCCCAATCCTTAAATATCCGGAACCCTAATCCTCAAAAGGTCTGCAACGAACTCGCAACTCTTTCGTTGTTGCGGGTGTCCATGAGGGGCGCTGATTGCTTACCATTACGTAATCCGCATGCTCGTTTGTCGACCTTATTACACAAAAAAGTCAAAGTCAAAATCATTTTATTCCATTAAACACTTTTGAACGTCAAACAAAGCTTAAAGATATAAAGTGTCAGTCTGTCGGTCAGTCCTCTTAGTGAAGCTATTTGCTCGTTCCAAAGTGTAGATTCCTATGGAGAAGAACGAGCAAGAAACTCCATGGTCATGGTCACTCTATTTTAATCAGTTCCACATATAGATTCTTTTTTACATTAATAAGTTACTTCTATTTCCACTTTAGCCAAGATCCCAGCGGCGCGTGGTTTTGTTGAGAACAGTTTCTACTCGGGGCTGACTCCGACAGAGTTCTTCTTCCACACGATGGGAGGGCGTGAGGGTCTCGTAGACACCGCTGTCAAGACTGCTGAAACTGGATACCTCCAGCGAAGACTTGTCAAGGTACGTGGTACTTGAGATCGACATCAGATAGTCCATTTTTATATTTTACTGGTGAATTAGTCGTATATACTAATTAACGTATTGTAATGAGGAAAAGTAAGTTTGTATGTAGGAGATCTGGTCGGATTTCCAAAATTCTTGCTGCATCACAATACCGTGCAACGTGTCGCGGGTTCGATTCCCGCACGGAACAACTTTTTGTGTGATCCAAAAATGTTGTTTTGCGTCTGGGTTTGATGTGTAATGTGAAATTGTATGTTTGTAACCGCATCCGCACAGGAGAAAATCCTAGAGCCCCACTCTAGGATTTTCTCCAACGTTTTTTTTTTTGACAAAAAAAAAATGGTTTCATGTCCCTTCTTACAAGATGGCAAAAAGTTATCGACAAAATCTCACTAGTTTATAATCTGTGGCGCCTACATAATTTCAAAAAAGTGTTTAGTGGGATCAGAGAACAAGGTGTAAAATTAAAATTCCTTATCCTCCGTTGAAAAGGAAGGATCCTCTGACTTGGCGACGTGATCGTGCCTGGCGGGCTTCTTCCCAACAATTGTACGTTAGGATGTGTTTATTAGCGCTCAAATTCATTGCGTGATTAAGGATTTGATACGCCATCTGTTATACATTGTCCATATATGTGTATTTTCTATACTAATATTATAAAGAGGTAAAATTTGTAAGTTTGTATGTAGGAGGTAATCTTTGGAACCGCTGGTCTGATGGAGCTACAATGTTCCTGAGTGCTATAGGCTATAAAACATAACACTACGATAAAATGGAGCTGAGCAGCGGGTGAAGCCGAGCGAGAGCAGCTAGTAAACTATAAACTAAAAATAAACTTTTTCCCTCATTTATTATAACGCCCAGTAAAGGTTTAACCTCAAGGTCATTAGATGGTATTGAATCTGATGGTGTTATCCCCAGTCGTTGGAGGACCTAGTTCTACACTATGACATGACGGTCCGCAACGCGATGGGCGAGGTGGTCGAGTTCCGCTACGGCAGTGACGGACTGGACCCCAGCTACATGGAGGGCAAGGACCGACCTGTAGACCTTGCCAGGGTACTCGCTGATGTTCGTGCTAAATATCTCTCCAGGTAAGCATCGTGGATTACTTGTGCTTAACTGACTTATTTATTTCTTCTTTTAATATGAAAATACAATGATATGAATGAAAAGACATATAATTTAAGCCGACCTGGAGGAGGTGCGCGCGTTAAAATGGCGTAGGACTGTGTTGCCTGCCCTCGCTTAGTAGGATTTTATTCCTACGGTATAAATCATTTTTCTCCATCCTTATATCCCTATGTATGCTTAAATCTTTAAAACTATGCAACGGATTTTGATGTGGTTTTCTAATAGATAGAGTTATTGAAGATTAACGTTTGTACTGATAATAACATCCATTAAATAGTGTAGAAATATTGTATTAGTATTAAATATTTATTCGGGGCGGGTCGCTAGTTAAATATATGTACACCTTTCTAACGGCCGATTGCGGGTTTAAGTGCAATGATGTATCGTGGACAGTATGACAAAATCAAGGGAGAAGAATTCGATGTATTTGTCTTTTTAATGGTATAGGTAAACGAACGATACAGGATTACCTGATAGTAAGCAATCAGCGCTATCCATCACCTGCAAAGGAGTAACGAATGCGTTACCGGCCTTTTAGGGATATTAAGAGTTTTGGATATGTAAGGATTGGAAAGGATTAGGGGTAAGGGGAAAAAATTGGGCATATCATAAATTTTTACCGTTTCAAAAAGTTATTTCGCCCCGGGAATTAATTTTATTTCATTTTGTATCAATTGTTCATGTGTAATGGTAATGAAATATTAATGCTTGATGCACGCATTATACAGAGACGAGGATCCCCTGGACGGCGACGGCATCGAGCTAGCTGCTGCGGAAACCCTCGCGCTGGATGATTTCAAAACGTGCACCCAGGAGTTCAAGAATGAGTTACTGTGAGTTTGATGTCGAATGTGACTTTTCCGAGTTATATGTACTTTCAATTATTATTTAGATGCCAGACATACGGTGAAGTTAGACATCGCGAGGAAAGCTGATTTAATAATTTCTAATAATAATTTTAAAATCGCCAATCCGCTTTGAGTAAGCTTGGTGATTAATGCTCAAACGTTCTCTGTTTGAAAAGAGACCTTTGCTCAGCAGTAGGCACTTATAGGCTGATGATAAATTACAGGACATTCCTGAAGTCGATAGCAGCGAAGGTCCGCGCGCTGCGGTCGCGGTACTGGCAGTGCGGGGCGCTGGTGAAGCAGCTGGAGCGGCTGACGCTGACGCAGCTGGTGCAGTTCCTGCGCGTCTGCCACCACAAGTACCAGCGCAGCGTCATCGAGCCCGGCACCGCCGTCGGCGCGCTCGCTGCACAGGTACACATTTACTATTAATTAAATATGTTTATTTGCCATAAAGGCATTCATGCCAACGACAAGAAAGAAAAATACATTATAACAAAATAACAATAAAAAACTAACCTAATTTTTAATTATACTTCATGCACAATGCACAATTTTAAGTGTGGTAGCGCCAAGCTTCGTCACGAATGGGTCGGCTTGACCGGAGAGATACCACGACCTCACAGAAAACCGGCGTGATACAACTTGAGGCTAAATCCCTACCCTTCCCCCATCCTTTCCCAATCCTTAAATATCCAAAACCCTTATCCCTAAAAGGCCGGCCACGCACTCGTAACTCCTTTGGTGTTGCGAGCGTCCATGATCGGCGCTGATTGCTTACCATGAGATAATCTTTCGGTCGAGCTCACCCATTCGTGTCGAAGGTTGACTCTCACACACATGAATGATAATGTTAAGCTGATCGTGAAATTACACAATAAAATTATTAACATTTTTATATTTTAACATGCTAAGTAATAGTTGATGGACTCCAAAGAATACCAATAGTTTGATAGACTTGTGATATATTACCACAAAACTAAGCATACAATATTTTCCTATATGAAACCTTTGAACCTTTTCTAGACTTCCACGAATAATTCAAGACCAAAATTATCCAAATCGGTAAAGGCATTGTTGAGTTAACATTACAACGCAAAATGCAAAGATTTTTATATATTATAGACTAGCGGACCGCCCCTGCTTCGCATGGGTAGGTATCCGACTACCCAAGCAGTCATTGGTTTTTTTAGCAAACGACCACAGCTCCGAAGGATTGCTAATTCCCGATATTCCCCTTTACTTTTCTAAAATTTTGTTTTGTAAGAACTTTACATAAAAATAACGAACATAACAAAAAAAGAATCAGCAATATTGGTCCAGTCGTTATTGAGTTATGCGCTTACCAACACATTTCGCGATTCATTTTTATATTATAGATGTAATAACCTTTATCCAACTCCACAGAGCATTGGCGAGCCCGGTACTCAGATGACCTTGAAAACATTCCACTTCGCGGGAGTAGCTTCCATGAACATCACCCAAGGAGTGCCCAGGGTCAAGGAGATCATCAACGCGTCTCGTAACATCTCCACTCCGATCATCACCGCGGAACTGATGCAGCCAAGAGACCAGGAGTTTGCCAGGAGAGTCAAGGGCAGGATTGAGAAGACTACGTTAGGAGAGGTTGGTTGTAACGTAGATTTATGCTAAAGGGTGAATGAGTAGGTGGATTTCCTGATGGTAAGCAATCGGCTCCGTCAAGAATACCAGAGGAATTAGTCTAGAGCAGGAGAAGGAACGACTGAGTTTTTAGTCAGTAACACCCGGTTTCTGAAAGGCTTGTCAACGCTAAAATTACCTAATCTCCTGTTAAATCTCTTGTCAAGTCATCTGATTGGTTGTTGATAATTCATTAAACCAATCAGATGACAAGAGATTAAATTGATTTTAACATTGATCGGCCTTTCGGAAACCAGGTGTAAGATTCTGACACTTTCTCTCGCCTCAGGAGAAGTCATTTGATGAGTTACCCCTGACAAAAAGACCTAGGTTTTAATGAATTTACTTGTTCGAAACGTGACAAGTACCAATGTGCCTTTTTCCGAGTTATATATACTTTCTATATTTCTAATTATAAGTTTGAAATCGCCAGTCCGCCATGAGCAAACGTGGTGATTAATGTTTAAACCTTCTCCGTGTGAAAAGAAGCCTTTGCTCAGCAGTGGGCATTTTTAGGCTGATGATGATGAAATCTGTTATTGCTATCCTCAGATCACGACATACATAGATGAGATGTACCTGCCCAACGAGTGCTTCCTGCTGATCAGGCTGGACGCTGAGAGGATCCGCCTCCTCTGTCTAGAGGTCAACGTCGAGTCTATCGTGTATTCGTAAGTTAACAATCTTGTATACCTAACTAGCTTCTGTCGCGCGGTTTCTCTCGCTGCTCCTTCAAATCGCAGCATATTAATGAGCAGCATTCCGCCTCGCGTGTCGTCGGGTATCTCGTCAAATAATTACGCGAGTAAGCCGCAAACATTATTACTAATTTATAATATTAGTACAGATGGAACTGAAATAATCATCTAGATTTCTAACTAGGGTTAATTTTATATTGAAACAACATGTCGATTTCGTGGAGCATTTCTTCTTTGAAGCAATGGTGTAGTTAAACAACTTCGTAATGTACTTTTGTGATAACTTTGTTATTAGGTATCTAGGTATATATATAAGTATTAGCTATTCGCGCGTCGGTCTTAGCCTATAGGTTAAGAAGGAAAATTTTTTTTTTACTTTTTTGTTCGATTAGTTTCGAACCACATATGGCTCATAATAATGTCGAAAGTTGCACAATAAGTAATCTATACTATTATAATATTGTAAAGCTGAAGAGTTTGTTTGTTTCTTTGAACGCTTTAATTTGCTATTGGCTATAAAACTGAAGTGGTTTGATTTATTATCTGTCTCACCGTAATATGTCAGGTTTGTACAACTAGGCAAGTAAGCTTTACTAATGAAAATGATTAATTACATAAAATTGCAAGGCTAAACTAAACATTAAATATATTTGTCGATAAGCAATGTATTAAGCAAAGCTAAGAGAGCGCAGCAACAGACTGAAGTTTATTCCCACCAAGCGCGGTATTTATACAAAAAATATAATTATTAATAATTATAGGAGGTTGGCGCTTGGTAGTTTATGCGCAGGAGTAAACCACTCCCCCGGCAGTATGACTGTCGGCCGTAAACAAAAGATGCGGGCGCAGCCATCTTGCCGAGGAAGTGAGAGGGCAATAGGGCTTATAATTATTTATTGACATATTATTATTATTTTCTATTATTGTTAGTGTAAGGACCGTGTGAGACTTGCCGCGCTTTTGGACTACCAGTTATCTGCGTTCTGACAGTTTGAGTACTTGCGCGACCCAACCAAATGTTCTTTAGATCGGTATTGTTCGTCGGACAACTCAGCAGCACTTGCTATGCTGGTTGCAAACTGACACTTGCGTGCCTGTCTTCAGAACGGGTCCACTTAAACTGGTGTGGTTCTTTCATCAAAAGACCACTACAGAATGAACTTGCACGGTTCTCTCACATTATGTTATTTTTACTTTGTCTGGACTTGAAAAGAGACTGACCTCTGAGTTTGTTTCGGCATTTCTTCTCAGAGTAGTCAGATAGGAAATGCCGGCTTCATCTAGTTTTTTACATATAAATTGACGTGTAAAAGTGCCGTTTTATGGCCTATTTGCAAAAATAAATTCATTGCTTCATTGGTGTATATCGGTCTTCTCGCAGTGGGCGTCACTCAAGCGGCGCATCACCTGATGATCACCTCATATAACGTAGTGGTGGCATGATCCTAAGGCTCGTTTTAGCGGGCGAGTGACTTGCCTATTCGCTACAAAACATCACGCTACGATCTGTACGAGAAAACGCTTGAGAGTAGCTAGTACGGTAATAAATGTTATGTTTTTCCTGCAGAATACGGTCTGTAGGAGCTGAGCAGCGGATGGAACCGCGTGAGATAGTAGTACAGTAATAAATGATATATGGTTTAAATATGTAAATATGTAATATGTTGTTACAGAATATGCACATCGAAGCTGAAGATAAAGCCTGGGAACGTGCAGATAGTGTCGGAGTGGGCCGTGAAGGTGAGCGCGGAGGCGGGGCGCGCGGGCGCCTGGCTCAACCTGGCGCTGCAGCAGCTCGCGCGCCAGCTGCCCGCCGTCGTCGTCAAGGGCCTGCCGCAGGTCGCGCGCGCCGTCATCGCATGCAACGACACCGACGCTGTGCCCACGTACCTACTGCACTTTATTTTTTTATTTTTTTGTTATGGTATAAGTCGGCAAACGAGCAGACGGATTACCCGATGGTAAGCAATTGGCGCCGCCCATGGACACCCGCAACACCAAAGTAGTTCCGAGTGCGTTGCCGGCCTTTTGGGGATGGGGGTTGCGGATATAAGGATTGGGAAGGGATAGGGGAAGGGTAGGATTGGGCCTCCGATAACCTCACTCACACGGCGAAACACAACGCTGTGGGTTGTTTCACGCCGGTATTCTGTGAGGCCGTGGTATCACTCCGGTCGAGCCGACCCATTCGTGCCGAAGCTTGGCTCTCCCACACTTATTTGTCTACTTGCAAAGTGCCTCTACATCTAGATGACTGCCTATCGAAACCTGTAATAGCAGAGGAGTCGTGAGTGCGTTGCCGACCTTTTGGGGATTAGGGCTTCGAAGATTTACGGTTTAAGGAGAGATCGGGGGACGGGAATAAGGTTTGGGCTAGCGGTTACCGGAGGGATATCCTCTTTCCTCAAATCCCTAACCACCCACAAAAGGCGGGCAACGTACTTGTATTAACTCCTTTGATATTACGAGTGTCAATGGGCGGCGCCAATTGGTTACCGCCCGATAAATTAGTCTAATTATTTACACCAACCTATGACATATAAAATTGTCTTTATTCTTAAAAAAGTAGGTATATAGGTATATTTTACGTGGAATCGGTGAATTAATCAGCAAGCAATTACTTATACTGATAAGTAACCAGCTCAAATTCAAAGATCGTAAAGATATAGTTAGTTACTCTGTTGAGCGTACTGTTGAAATAGCCTGTGTGGAATTGGAGCGGTTTATTGTATTAAGCGTGTATAGACCACCTTCTGGTTTGTATGACTGTTTTGAAACAGTAATGGATGAAGTTCTAAGTAAACTTACAAATTCAAAGAAATCCATCATTACATGTGGTGATTTTAATATAAATTTATTAGAAAAATGTAGTTTAAGCACAAAAATTGTAAGTTTATTTTCTTCATACAACCTTGCGAATTTGTTTCTGGAGCCAACTAGGATAACACCCACTAGTGCCACTTGCCTGGACAATATTTATACCGACATTGTGCCAGTTAACAAAGAAATAATTTCAGTACTTGATTCCGATCATTGTGGTCAGTTAATTTCTTTAACAAATGAAATAAATATAGTGTCAAAACAATTTATCACAGTTAATCCGAAGACTAAAAGACGCATTGAATTTTTCAAAGCTAAACTCAGCAACAAATTGCCTTTGTTGTTGAATTATAAGAATTCTAGCACTTTATATGATAAGTTTTTTAAAATGTACCTAACAGAGTTTAAGTCTACTTTTTCAGATAAAACTATACCAGCTAATAGCAATGCGTCTTTCGGTGATTGGGCAACCACTGGTATCTATAAGAGTAGAAAGCGCCTCTATGAGCTTTATAATGAGAACGGACATATATTAACACTGTTGAATTCAGTGAATATGTAAAAAACTATTCTAAATTATTCAAAAAGGTTTGCTCTATTGCTAAATCATTATTCTTAAGCTCTAAGATAAAGAACAGTACCAATGTTATCAAAGACACTTGGAATATTATCAACAGTGAGGCAGGAAGGTCTAAAAAGAGAATAAATCAACATAGTCTTGTAATTGATAATAAGTTAATAAAAGCGGATGTAGAAATTGCAACTGCTTTTGAAAATTTCTTTTCCGACATTCCTGTATCCACTACTAAGTCACTGAATTCATCTCCCACTGTTGCAGAGTCTTTACTCAAAAAACATGTTGTAGCTTGCGATTCAGGGTTTTCCTTCGAGCACATAGATAACAAGGAAATTGTTAAAATCTTTAATACTTTGAATAACAAAAAGACTGCAGATCTATGGGGCAATTCTGTGTATATTACAAGCTCTGTAATAACTATTGTAGCACCTGTATTAGCTCAAATCTTTAATAACTGTATTGACTGTGGTGTGTTTCCTGATCTTATGAAATGTAGTAAAATAATTCCATTATTTAAATCAGGTAGTACTTCTGACCCCACTAACTTTAGACCTATTTCAGAGCTACCTACGTTCAGTAAAATTTTTGAAAAAAATATTTTAGAGCAAATGCAAAGATTTTTTAATAGAAATAAATTATTACATGCGAAACAGTTCAGATTTACAAATTTATGTTCGTTCAACAACTGATGCCGGTGTTGAACTTCTTAATCACATTTACGACGCGTGGGAGGACTCAAGCGACGCTTTGGGAATATTTTGTGATTTATCCAAGGCGTTCGATTGTGTGCTTCATGATACACTGATCAGGAAGCTATCCCATTACGGAATAAGAGGTGCATCTCTGGACCTTCTTACCTCATACCTGAGTAATAGGGTTCAGAGAGTTGAAGTAAACGGAGTGGTTTCTGCCGGGTCTGTTGTGAAGATGGGTGTTCCGCAGGGTTCTATTCTCGGCCCGTTTTTATTTCTTATCTATATTAATGACTTGCCTTACCTTGTAAGGGATAAACACGAGATAGTGCTGTTTGCTGATGATACCTCACTATTATTCAAACTCAGACGACGACAATTAGTTATTGACAATGTAAACAGTGCTCTCTCAGAAATAGTTCACTGGTTTGGTGTTAATAACTTATTACTAAACGAAACTAAAACTAAATGTATTAAATTCACAACACCAAATGTTAAACAGGTAAAAACCAGTGTGCTTGTCAAGGGCGGGGAGTTGAGTCCTGTAGATACAACTGTCTTTTTAGGTATAACCCTGGACGCTAAGCTCCAGTGGGGCCCTCATATAGATGGCTTGTCGAAAAAGCTCAGTTCTGCAGCATATGCCGTTAAAAAAATTAGAAATTTAACAGATGTAGATACAGCGCGGTTAGTTTATTTTAGTTATTTCCACAGCATCATGTCATACGGTATTTTGTTGTGGGGGAATGCTGCTGACATTCAGTCTATTTTTGTTCTGCAGAAAAGGGCTATTCGATCAATCTATAATCTTAGTCCGAGGCATTCGCTCAGAGAATTATTTAAGGAAACTAAGATAATGACGGTTGCCTCACAATATATTTATGAAAATGTAATTCACGCTCATAAAAACAAAAGCTTATTTAAGAAGCATAGTGATATACATAATATTAACACGAGGGGGAAAAACAAATATGTTGTCCCTGCCTCCAGGCTTCAGAAAATAACTAGTTCGTTTAGATGTCAATGTATACGCTTTTACAATAAAATTCCTAGCGATATTCAAAATTTGAGCCTCAATAAATTTAAAAGTGTAATAAAGGCTAAACTTTGCTGTAAAGCATTTTATAAAATAAAAGACTACTTAGAGGATAGTCAGGCATGGGAATGAGCCGCTGTAATGTCTGCACAGGTCATGTTGACATGTTTGTAACATAAGTTACAATTTTATATACAATTTGACATTACGTTTATTTTTTATTTTTTATTTTTTATACAATGACATAATCACCTATTGTGACATTTTATTTTTTATTTGACATTTTTTTTTTATTTATTTATTGACATTTTTATTATTTTATATTATTGTTAGTGTAAGGACCGTGTGAGACTTGCCGTGCTTTTTGATTACCAGTTATCTGCGTTCTGACAGTTTGAGTACTTGCGCGACCCACCCAAATGTTCTTTAGATCGGTATTGTTCGTCGGACAACTCAGCAGCACTAGCTATACTGGTTGCAAACTGACACTTGCGTGCCTGTCTTCAGAACGGGTCCACTTAAACTGGTGTGGTTCTTTCCTCAAAAGACCACTACAGAATGAACTTGCACGATTCTCTCACATTATGTTATTTTTACATTGTCTGGACTTGAAAAGAGACTGACCTCTGAGTTTGTTTCGGCATTTCTTCTCAGAGTAGTCAGATAGGAAATGCCGGCTTCATCTAGTTTTTCACATATAAATTGACGTGTAAAAGTGCCGTTTTATGGCCTATTTGCAAAAATAAATTCATTGTTTCATTGTTTCATTGTTTCAACGCAGCGGGCGCGTCATATTTCTGCGTAAAGTTGAGGTCGTCCTTATTGATCTGTCCGCGGTAGTGGGCGCTGCCCGACACTGTCACCACCCGGCTCGGGGCTGACTCCTGGAGTACACAATCATTACATTAATCAGCCTATAAGTGCCCACTGCTGAGCAAAGGCCTCTTCTCATATGGAGAAGGTTTGAGCATTAATCACAACGCTTACTCAAGGCGGTCTGACGATTTCAAACTTACAATTAGAAATTATAAGTCCAGGTTTCCTCATGATCCCTTCACCGTATGTCAGTGGTGTCTCTAAACTTAAAGTACTTATAACTCGGAAGAAGTCACATTGGTATTTACGAAGCGGGCGCCTTAACCTCCGGGCCACCACGACTGAATATAGTGAATTAATATATGTGTTTATTATTATTAGGTACAAGCTGTGCGTGGAGGGAGACGGACTTCGAGATGTCATCGCCACGTACGGGGTGGACGGCACGAAAACAACTTCAAACAATATACTCGAGGTATGTACTATATACTAGTTTCTTTTATTATGTTATAGGTCGGCCAACAACCAGACGGATTACCTGATGTAAAGCAATCAGCGTCGCCCATAAACAACGGAGAAGTTACGAGTGCGCTGCCAAACTTTTGGGGATTAGGGATTGGGACAGGGGATGGATTGGGCCTCCGGTAACTTCACTCACACGGCGAAACACAACGCTGTGGTTGTTTCACGCCGGTTTTGCTGCGAGACCACTTGATAACGTGATATCACTCCGGTCGAGCCGACACATTCGTGCCGAAGCATGGCTCTCCCACACTTGCTAAATACATTTCGAAAGTTTCTCGCAAAAAAATCTATGGAATTCAATGTCAAAATCATTAATTCCAACTAAAACCAAAATAGGTGCTTTGGAAACGTCAAAATAGAATTTAGTAGTCTGTAGACTAGTCAGTCAGGTGACCGTGTGACGTCGATGATTGCACACACACTAAAATTATGAATCCCGGGCGGCCTTAAAACTGATCGAGCATTCTCGAAAAAAATACATTACGTGCTTAAACCGTTAATAATATTATTGACACGTTGTCCAGGTTTACCACACGCTTGGCATAGAGGCTGCGAAGTCAACAATCATCAGTGAGATCCAGGCTGTGATGGAAGGACACGGCATGAGCGTGGATCGTCGCCACGTGGAACTGTTGGCGGGGCAGATGACCGCAAGGGGCGAAGTCCTAGGTATCACCAGATACGGTCTCGCCAGGATGAAGGAGTCCGTGCTTAACTTGGCCAGTGTGAGTATTACTTTGTTGTACTAAGTTTCAGAAGGTGAATATTCGTCTCGGAGAAAAATTATGAAATGGCTCTCGCCGTGGATGTGGTAAAAAAGAGAGTTTCAAGTCTCCTGTGACTTCACTCACACATCGAACCACTACGCTATGGTTGTTTCACGCCGGTTTTCCGTGAGGCCGTGGTATGTCTCCATCGAGCCGGCCTGTTCACACCAAAGCATGACTCTCTAAATATTTCCCTATTCAGGAAGTATCTTGAAAAAAACTAAACAATAACTGTGTATTCTGTGTTATGTGTGTTGGAAATTATTCATCGTTTTTATCATTCAGAAGTATTGTATATCTTACATCGTATGTCTACTCATGTTCAACGAATAACATAAAATTACATTTTCAACAGTTTGAAAAAACGGCTGATCACTTATTCGACGCGGCGTACTACGGGCAGACAGATTGTATAGAGGGCGTCTCAGAGTCCATCATACTCGGGGTGCCGGCCGCCATCGGGACCGGAGTCCTACAGTTACTGCACCAACACCCGAGGGCAGAGCCCCTGCAGCCCCGCGAGCTCCTCTTCGACCGACCGGAGTTCCACTCCTCGATATGGGAATAACCCCTAAGCCCGGGCCGTAGACGCAGTATCATGATCAGAGTTGCCGCCAAGAAGTAATTTTGTACCTTCTTGTCGTATGTATAAGACTGGAAATCGTTTGTTGTTTTTGAGTTTTTTGTTTGACTGGTGAGTGTAGTCATCTCTTACTGTAGGGAATAAAAATTATTTTCAAAATACAAAGCAAATAGAACTGAACGATATTGAAAATCATTTAAAATTTCAAAGTCGGCTATCTTACAAAACGAAGTTTTTGTCAAACACTAAAAGATGGCGTTACTGTCTCATTGAATTTCTCAAATGATTATAAGTGTATGACATTGTATATATAAAATAGATTATGTTAGTTATTTTTTAACATTATGTAGTTAGTTATTAATTGTTAGATATTTAATGTTATATCTTCCAAGTCAACATATAATATCTCTAATTTAATATACGTGGCTGGCAACACTCTGAATATTGCCAGCCTTCTAAATGTAGGTAACTCTACTTTTTTATGCTGTATCTATGTATTATATTGTTATCATTGAGCTATTATCTGATAATTATAGGTTAGAAATATTTCGTCACACCTAAGCACAGTACGGCCGACGTATATGGCGAGTCTGAAGTTAGCAGTTTGTCTGCGCAATGGATCTTTTAGGAACAAAATTGTGTACTGCGCAGCTAATCGGCTAACTTCAGACTCGCCAAGATACGTTGACGGTATTGTAAATTGTTTTGATTGATAATCCTTGTATTATGTTTGTTTACTACATTTGACTCAGAGGATAAGAAAATGTTTTTATAATAATAAAATCATTGTAAACAAGTTTTCGTCTTTTAATTTTATGTAATGACTTATTATAGAGCCTTTTGGTATGATCCCAGCTCAACTGGAGTGATACCATACAAAACAGGCGTGAAATAACGCCTGCTAGTCAGAGGCTACCGTGCGAACCTAAATAAATAAAGTAACCAATGTAATTCTACAATTTATTAACAATAAAACTATAAACTAAATAACATTAAATGCTTGTACACTTTCATTCACTCTGTATATCTAATATCCATTCTGCAAGCCTCCCACTGCATATGTCTGTCTGTGCCGTTGTCAAAAGGACACTTCCAAGATTGTCTTCGGAAAACAAGTAATACCATTATTTATGGCTGATTTATGATGCTGTCGCGTTAGAATGTTTCTATAAGACAGTGACAGCCACAATACAATACAATTACATACAATTCTAGTATCAACCTCCAAAAACATAAATAGCGATGATTGAATAATAATAATAATAATTTAAACTACTTTTAGTCTTGAGACTTAAAATAAATGACATCCTGGAGTTGAATTAAATTGTACTAATTATCACGCGGCCCGAGCCTGCGCTAGCGCAGCTTTATGTTGGTCGAGTTTGGTCCACTTCTCGCTGACCTTCCACAACCAGCTGGCCAGCTCGTAGTCCTGCGCTAACTTCGAAGGCTCCTTCTTCTTCATATCACTGCAAAATAATAAAAGAAAGATGTGTTAGTGACACTTACTATTTTTATAACTCAAGAACGGCTGAACCGATTTAGCTGAAAATTGGTAAGGAGGTAGCTAAAAACTTGGAGAAGGACATAGGTAGAGTAGGTAAGGTAGCTAACTATTAATTATTCGGTTCGGTATTTGTCAAACTAATTTGAATTTGAATAGCACTTGGTCAAAATATGTGAATGCTGTCTATCATCTGACTATCAGAGCTTTCAAGGTCATAAAGTTCATTCATCATTTGGTTAACAGAGCTGTAATTCTTGTATAAAAGAACTAAATGCTTTTATGTAGACGATACTCAGCTTGTCGTCTGATTATTCAAAACTAATTCATCTGTTACGTTGCTATTACACAGCTATTTTTTATTTTTGACTTGAAAAGAGACGGGCCTCCCAGTTTGTTTCGCCATTTCTTCTCAGAGTAGTCAGATAGGAAATGCCGGCTTCATCTAGTTTTCACATATAAATTGACGTGTAAAAGTGCTGTTTTATGGCCTATTTGCAAAATAAATTCATTGTTTCATTGTTTATTAGCAGAAGAATTTTGTGCCCTAATTGCTTGAGTAACTTCTGGGTAAGCCTCAAATCGGACTAATTATTGTAGTCTTATTCAGCAATTAGTTTCTAAAGGAACAGACGGTTTGTGCTGCTTGAGTAGGGAAGCGTAAGTAGTGTAGGATTGGTATGGCAGTGTAGGTAGAGCAGGATAGGTAGTGTAGTTAGTTAAATGGCGGGTACTTAAGAGGCCAGTGTTCTTCAAATTACTAGCTACCCGCCCCTGCTTCGCACAGGTGTCAGTCGTTTGTTTTATAACCACGGCATCATCATATTATACCAATTAAAATACACCTAATATTTCGTGTACTATTGTTTTTATAAACATTAATTTCTAAATGTTTTATTTGTCAGAGAAAAATCATCAAATGACTTCTCCCGCCCAGGGTGAGGAGAGACAGTGTCAGACTCTTACTGACGAAAAACATCCCCTGTTCATTCTTCTGTTTTATGCAGAGGCCACGGTGCCTCATTGCGCGCTTACCCCGCTATAGGGCCCCGTCTGTGGTGGTCTATTGGCTCTTTGAGGCGCGCCCAGAAGCGACGCGCCGTACGCCCAGGAACTCCTAGATGTTGCGGGTGTTCATTGTCCATGACCCAACGGCGTCGATTGCTTACCTTTGTAGTAAGTACGCTTGTTTGCCGACCAATCACATAAAAAAGTTTTTATCTTACACATAATAGTCTCCGGAACAGTCACTGAGTGCTGGGTCCAGGGCGGCGTGGACGATGACCTGACTGCCAATCTTGGGAGACTTCATAAACGGCCAGAATATCGGGTACACCAGGTAGCGGGAGACGCTCTTCATCATCGACATGTGTCGTGTTATGTTCGTGTCTGTCAAACTCGGATCCACCGCCACTACTGAAACTCCCGAACCTGGGGATTAAGGGAAATGCATTGATCACGACACATTGAAACTGCCTCTTATATCAACTAAATTATTTTTCTTTTCTGTCTCCAGCTATTCTCAAAAGTTAATTTGCGAAACCACTTCTGAATCCGCGGTGAAATCATGTTTATTTAAAGTTTCGTATTCTTAAATGGAGTGAAACCTACACTGATGCCAGCATGTGAATAACGAAGTGAAACGAACTATTAAGCATTTTGACGTTTGTTTGTAGAGGTGAGATGAGAAGCGAAGTGGTGTGTGACTTCCGAGATGAGATTTACCATTTACAGAATAGCACTGCTGATAGTAATAACCAAGACTGGAGATCAGAAATTCGGTCACTCCAAGAAAAAATCAATACATATATTATATGAATTATTAATTCCTTCAACTGAATCTAGCGAAGACAGGACTTACTCAAAAATAAAGAAAAATGTAAGTAGGTATGTTACCTAACATCCTCCTGCCTAGTTCTCTAACAAACAGTAGGTTGGCAAGCTTGCTCTGCGCGTACGCAGCGGGCGCGTCGTATTTCTGCGTAAAGTTGAGGTCGTCCTTATTGATCTGTCCGCGGTAGTGGGCGCTGCCCGACACAGTCACCACCCGGCTCGGAGCTGACTCCTGGAGTACACAATTATTGCATTATCAGCCTATAAGTGCCCACTGCTGAGCAAAGGCCTCTTCTCACACGGAGAACGTTTAAGCATTGCACAAGGCGGATTGGCGATTTCAAACTTATAATTGGAAATTATAATTCCAGGTTTCCTCACTGGTGGTGTCTAAATAACTATAGTTAGTGCATATAACTTTGAAAAAATCACGTTAGTACTTGCTAGGTTTCAAACCCTGTTTTATGCATGAAAAGCGGGCTCCTTAAACTCCGGGCCACGACGACATTAGTAAAATCTAATCTAAAACATGGCCTAATTGAATTTAGGTGAATTATAAGTATATAGTTGACCTTGAGCGTGTCCAGTAGAAGGTTGGTAAGAAGGAAGTGTCCAAGATGGTTGACTCCGAGCTGTGTCTCGAAGCCGTCCCGCGTCACGCTGGCCGGTGGCTCCATCACGCCCGCGTTGTTCACCAACACGTGCACCTGAGGCTCTTCAGACTTAAACCTGGTCAGAACACCATATTTATTAACGGCCGTATCATGTCAATTTTCCAATGCTGAACTTTTTGCAGTTTTGGTAATCTGGTTGCAGTTTTCGGACATAAGTATTCAGGTTGGACTGGACTGGACTTTTTATTTATAGCAAGTAGATCCGGTTCACCCACTGGATTCAGACCTTCCCCAATTGCTGTCATATATGTATACTTTAAATGTATGAAATACTTAGGTTGTGTTTCGACGTGTGAGTGAGGTTGCAGGATGCCCAATCATCTATTGTCAAACCCCCTATCTGTGAATCCCTAAAAACCACAAGAGGCCTGCAACGTCTTTGGTATTTGTAGCGGCACGATCACGTCGCTACATTACTTAGATACGATAGAGATAAGACACACATGTTAATTGTTGCACGTTTGTTAGGATAGCTAAATCTGAAAATCTCACGCATCTCCTTAGTATATAAGCACCAGCAATTAAAGTAATAAACAGACCTTAACCATCTACAGTCTCATTATTTACCTTGCCACGAAGTCTGGCAAATTGGTGACCCGACGAAGAACAATCAACATGACTCATTCACCCTGCAAATCAAGCAGCAGCCAACAAGAAGCCTTGGAGATATCAGCCGGAACCGGAATTTTGGAGGGACCAACCCAGATTATGGTTTAAGCAACTAGAAGCCATAGTAGCACCACAGAAGCAAGGAGACGATTACAAGTACTATACGGTCATTGCAAAACTGCCAAAAGAAGAAATAATACAGGTTAGTGACCTCATTACTTGCCCACCGCCAATAGAAAAGTACAAGGCTATCAAAGAACGCCTAATCAGTTGCTATGAGGAATCAGACCAACGTCAGCTCCAAAAATTATTGTCTGAAATGGATCTCGGCGACCAGAAACCATCACATCTTCTGCGCAAGATGCGGACCCTGAGTAACGGAAATATCAGCGACGAAACCATCAAACTTCTATGGTTGAGGCTTCTGCCACCATCAGTGACTTCGGTTCTAGCAGTCACAGAAGACATAGATGTGAACAAGATGAGCCAGATCGCGGACAAGATATTAATAAATTCAACACGTACAGAGGTGTCAGCTGTAAACGGAAACAAATCTGGCGACGATACAATGTCATGCATACTAGCACAGTTAGCAGAAATGCAATTGGAACTAAATGCAATTCAGCAAGGTCAAAAAAACTATCGACGCAGCACTCAAAGTTATTCCAATCGTCGGCATTTCCTACCACAGTCAAGTTCAAGAGAAAGAAGGCACTTTTGTTTTTACCATGGAAGATTTAAAAAATATGCACAAAAGTGTGTTCAACCTTGTGATTGGAAACAGGATCTCAACTCAAGGAAACAGGGAAACTAATTGAAGCACGGACAACGGCGGAACTCTGTGCTATTCACCCGTCCAACCGCCTCACTTTTACCGACCGAAAAAGTGGTATGAGATTTTTGATTGACACGGGAGCAAATATTTCAGTTATTAGCAAGCCACAGAGACATTCACTAATACAAGATGAACAATGTATACTTTATGCCGCCAATGGTACAAAAATTAAGACATATGGTGAAAAAACACTCTCTTTAAACTTCGGGCTACGAAGAAACTTTGTATGGAACTTTGTCATCGCCGATGTAACACAACCGATTATTGGAGCAGATTTTTTAGAGCATTATAAGCTATTAGTCGATATAGCTGGTCGAAAACTCATAGATAGGGTAACTGAGCTGACAACGCCCGCAACCCTGATCAAATCGACGCAGCAAACAATCCGCACTATTAGCATTGAGACGAATCCACGCATTACTCAACTATTAAATGATAATTCTCCAATTTCTTGGACAACAGAGGCCGAAAAAGCTTTTGATAAATGCAAGGAAAATATAATGAACGCAGTATTAACAGTTCACCCCTCTCGCACCGCCCCTTTGGCACTTATGACGGACGCCAGTTCGACCTGTGTTGGCGCAGTTCTGCAGCAGAAGTCAGGACGTAATTGGGAACCATTAGGATTCTTTTCAAAGAAATTAAGTGATACTCAACAAAAATACTCGACATTCGACAGAGAGTTGCTCGGAATATATATGGCAGTCAAACATTTTCAAAGGTTAGTCGAAGGAAGAGAATTTACTATCTTTACAGATCATCGACCTTTGACTTACGCATTTTCCCAAAAACCGTCATCTAATGATACGCCACGGCGAATACGACAACTGGATTTTATTTCACAATATTGTACCAACATTCAACATATAGAAGGACGTGACAATATTGTAGCAGACGCATTGTCACGGATAGAACAAATTGATGTGCCATCACCGATTAATTATGCTGATTTAGCAAGATGTCAGCATGATGACCAAGAATTATTACGACTTCGTAATAACAAGAATTTAAAATTTTCAATCAGCAGAAACAATCAGCACAAATGCAGTGGATAGTTCATCGACTGCCGCCGCCGTCACAACAAAGGCAGCAGTTTTTATTTCCTTCGAATTAGCAACAATGACATTACATTACGCATAGGATGTAATTTATCAGCAAGGTTAAGTTATTATATAATTAGGTACATACTAATTTTTTTCAATTTATATGTTAATTATTTTTAAAAGGGGGGAGTATATGTAGCGGCACGATCACGTCGCTACATTACTTAGATACGATAGAGATAAGACACACATGTTAATTGTTGCACGTTTGTTAGGATAGCTAAATCTGAAAATCTCACGCATCTCCTTAGTATATAAGCACCAGCAATTAAAGTAATAAACAGACTTTAACCATCTACAGTCTCATTATTTACCTTGCCACGAAGTCTGGCAAAGTATTGCGAGTGTTTATGGGCGGCGCTGATTGCTTTCCAGCAGGTACCTAATACATAATCGGTTTGCCGACCTATCACATAAAAAAATGAGGACTCTAAAGCGTAATTAAACGCTTTAGACCTAACATCTATTAATTATTGGGGACTTTTACCTCTCAACGAATTTCCTGATGGACTCAGTGCTGGCTAGGTCACAAGGTCGGCAGTACACGAACTTGTTGCTGGACTCCAGCACGATGTCGCGCCGTACCTCCTCGCACTTCTCCATGTTGCGGCATGCCATGAACACCTGGGCAGTACCAATATACAACGAAATACCTACAAATAATAATCCATTCGGTACCAGCGAGAGGAGGATATTGTGGTATATTCACAAAAAACAACATAATCTATATGACTACATGGTTGGCGCGGTGACTGGGCAACTGGCTGCCAAAGAGAATGTAAGCACTCTGGCTGCTGCGCAACGTGTCGCGGGTTTGACTCCCGCACGGAACTTTGAGTGATCCCCAAATTGTTGTTCCGGGTCTAGGTGGGGCTACGTTTTTCTTAAAAAAAAGATATAGATAATATACCTATGGGATTTTTTCTAAAGAATGGAAGAGTAACGTTGATCAATTCCTGATTTGACCGAAGTAAATTCTCAGCTCCTCCTCACTCATCAGCCTGCATGAACCTCTTTAAATAACCGTCGAAATAGATTAGGACACTTGATATGCTGACTTTCATATTCAAGCTATAGGGGAATATTTACCTTAGCGCCTCGTCTAGCGAAATCCCAGGCAGCCTCTCTGCCGATGCCGCTGGTAGCGCCCGTCACTATGACGACCTTGCCTTCAGCCCTCACGTTCTTATCATAAGGAGGCCCGCCGTAGAAATCTCTGGAATCCCATTGCAATGTTAGGTACTATTAAACTAGCAAAATCCTGTTGGCAAAAGCTTGACGAGTTCAGAGAGAAGAAATAACCAGAAAAACGATTACAGGTAGGTATCTTATATGTAGCTACCAAAGTATTCCAAAGATTTTTTGACACATCAGCTTTTAATGTTGATTTAGGTGTTAAAATGGTTTAGGCATCGTCAGGGGTCCACGCTTCAGCCGGGGTTGCGCTTACCCCGCAACCCCGGCTGAACATCGGCCCTATAGGGCCCCGTCTGTGGTGGTCTATTGGCTCTTTGAGGCACGTGCGGAACGCTACGCAGCGTACGCTCGGGTCTGGTTCTGGTCAGGCGGTTAGCTTCCCTACTCGCCGTCCACAGACCCGCGCTTACGGTGACTGGAGATCATCTCTTGATCCCCGGCAATATGTATTGTTCACTTACATCCTAATAATTGTATAGGAGGACTTACTTAAACAAGCAGAGGCCGCCTGCGGTGGCCGCCACCGTCGACACGATCACAATTGGCATGTTCGGCACCCACATTGCTGATGCGCTGGTGAATAACACCGAAATAGGTATATTATAGAGAAAATCGTTACAGGTTAAGTGATTGGTAAAGAATTTCCGGTAAACTTTCGACAAATTGTTGTTCCTGGTCTAGGTTGCCTGTCAAGTGGGGATTGTGGTGGTTGGTTTTAGACCTTTGTTTAGTTGTTGATTGTAGGTATATTGAAGAATATTCTGCACAGTTATGTATATTTGTAAACGCACCCACGACGAGGAGAAAAACCAAGGGTGGGCAACGTTTTTTTTTTAAAGAGAAAAAGAAGTTATATTTGTGGGAAGGTAAGAAAATAAAGATCTATTCAGTACAGAAACAGTAGTTATTGTTACACTAAATTATGTGGTTTTATTCAAGCCATATACCTAATTATCGTCTGAGTTTGTTTCGGTATGTCTTCTCAGAGAAGTCAGATAGGAAGAGCCGGTTTCATCTAGTTTTTTTATATACTTAGGTATAATTTTGACGTGTAAAATTGTAAAACTGTTTTAATGTCTATTTGAAAAAAAAACAAATTGATTGTTAATAAAAAGATTTTGTTTTTTATTTGATAGCACGGCAAACAAGCAAATTTGTAACCTGATGGTCAGCAATCAGCGTCACCCAAGGATATCTAACAACGGAGGAGTTACCGAGTGCTTTGCCGACTTTTTGGGGATTAGAGATTTTGACCTTTTAGTATAGGGGAATGATTGGACCCGGTAACCGTGTCCGTTACCCAGGCCAGATGTTGTCGACAATGGTCATTTGAATCTTATAGATAATTAGTTGTGCGGCTTCTGTAATTGTTGCGCACATTTTTAAATTTGTTGCGCTTATAGTTTTTTAATTATTTCACAAAAACATTTCCTGCTGGCGTAACGTTACCACAGCCAGACCTTTTTCTTTCTAATGGGAATATTTAAATAAATATTAGCTATAAAATTAGTTGTCTAGATAAAGTAAATGTTGTGCCTTATTTTGTATTTGTTCTTTCTTCGGTTGCGAAGTTATTCGAGATTTTGCTGCGGTAACGTTTTTGGTTTTGCTAGATCTTTGAAATGGTTAAGCGGAATCTTATCATATTTTGTACACGACTTCCGATGACTTAGTTTAAATTTGTTGTGCAATAACAAAACCAAAATAATGCATATTTTAAAGGTTTTTTCATTAAATAGAAAAACACTTAAATTGGCCCCAGCACTCTTTCGCTTTTTCGTTTTCGCTTTTTCGTAACCACCTTAACTTGGTCGGCTTACCACGGTCATTCACTTCCTAATGACTTTCATAGTATTATCTCATTAATTATCCAATGTATTGAGCTGAAATTTTACTGATATACAACTGATCTAAACAACTAATTATTGACATAACATTCAGTTCATATATCCAATCCAGTGGCCAAATAACACCGCGTGCATTAAGACCGTGCTCGTGAAGAACTGAATATCATCATAACTTGTTAAATACTTACGGGATACTAATGAAACTTCACATACATTTGAAGGCAGTTACAAGATTTAAAATTACGTTTAAAGTAAGTCTTTAGACTTCTTATTGAGAGTGCTGGGGCCAATTTAAGTGTTTTTCTATTTAATGAAAAAACCTTTAAAATATGCATTATTTTGGTTTTGTTATTGCATAACAAATTTAAACTAAGTCATCGGAAGTCGTGTACAAAATATGATAAGATTCCGCTTAACCATTTCAAAGATCTAGCAAAACCAAAAACGTTACCGCAGCAAAATCTCGAATAACTTCGCAACCGAAGAAAGAACAAATACAAAATAAAGCACAAAATTTACTTTATCTAGACAACTAATTTTATAGCTAATATTTATTTAAATATTCCCATTAGAAAGAAAAAGGTCTGGCTGTGGTAACGTTACGCCAGCAGGAAATGTTTTTGTGAAATAATTAAAAAACTATAAGCGCAACAAATTTAAAAATGTGCGCAACAATTACAGAAGCCGCACAACTAATTATCTATAAGATTCAAATGACCATTGTCGACAACATCTGGCCTGGGTAATGGACACGCTGGTCGCTTACCATCAGATGATTCGCCTGCTCGTTTGCCTCATATTCCATAAAAACATTACCTACTTTATTTGAATCAGAATAGATAGATATAATGTTATGAAAATCCCTGTTTTCGTACACCGAAATAACTGTCCGAATTATACCTATCCGGCAGAGGATGAAGAAAAAATAAAACAAAATTGTATATTTCTTATTTAAATGTATATTTAGTATTTAGGTACCTTTGTTTTACATTCGAGTGTAAGGCTAGGTGTGAATCGATTATGTTACAAGTGCTGTCGCTAATTACATTATAAGTGTTATTTATATTACGCAATTATACCTATTGTTAGCTAGAAATATGTGACAGTTATTGTTATTAAATTACAGAAAAATAAAATATAGATTGTTATATATTTTGTCATTATTATTTTCGGGTGTATATATTACCACAGTATAAATATAATAGGTCTTTACCTAAGGTACATGCGGGTATTAAAGCCTGTCGGCTAATAAGGCCTAAACATTAAAAATCTTGCTTAGAATACGATTTTGCGCCCAATCTCACGCACATACATGTATATTACACGTAAAAGGCGCCACCATGCGGCAAGTGTTGGCTACCACACTCGCTCTCGCTAATGGCGTGTTAAACGTTGTCAAAAGTAGCCGCACGTCACGTTTTTACAAATATTGGCTCCGGTAAAACATAAATATTTCTTAAATTATTATATTTATCTCCTTGCACTTACTGTCTGTATTATCGTTAACTCATGCTCGTCCCACATTGCCTTATTTATTAACGTTCTACAGTCCAAATTGTATTTATTTCGTTTTCCATAAATACCTAACCTATGGGCAATAAGGCCTATAAAATTTTATAGTAGGCCTTATTCTACTTATAGATATATATTCTTCAATGTTTGCATTATTTTCAAATTATTTCAACAGATATATCATACATTATTCACAGTTCCTACGTTCACGATGCTTCCTAAGCGAGCATTGTGATCAAAAGATGACTAATTTATGGCATTTCGTCTGAACACATCGTCTTCCACTTGCACGACTAGAAAAAGAAAAAGAACAATAATATCTGGGTTTCATGAAAGCATTAGGCTATTAATTTTCGGGGTACTCTAGTGAACAAAGATCGTTTTGATAAATTTAATGAATGTAAGAAAAACAATGCAAGGAATAAAAATACAAATTCAGAAGAAGAAGAAAACCAAGGGATCTAGAAAATTCTAACCTTCAAACAAAGTCTTTTCGCGGATCTGATCGAACCAAGGACACTGAAGGCACTCAAGCGAGTTGGTACTGCCATGCCTATGAAGAAAACATACGGTTTTCTTCATGACACCCTATGTTTTCTTTACATTCACAGTACACAGTATGGATGACATAAGGCAGTGCTCTCAATGCCCCAAGTGGTATCATGAGGAGTGTGTTAGTTTATCAGTGGATGATTATGATGACTTCGTATGCCGTGGTGGATGTTAGATGAGGCTACTCATTTAATTCTAAAGTATTATTCTGCCATTGACTGGATAATGATTGATATCAAATACCAAAATATGTTATTTTAGTTGATTAATTGCATAGTTAAAGAAGCAGGCCTTGTTACCCTACCGAATTATAATAAGGCCTATTAAGAGCGTTTAAAAAAATGTTAAATATTGTTTAGGTTTCATGCAGAATTTGCTATTTTTTTGTTATAGTTTTGTAGTTGCCTAAATAAACGACTGATTACCGAATAAAACTTGTTGATTCTATTATCAGTTTTGATTTTACAACAAATTTCCCTTAGCTAGGCCTTAATACCCTCATGTACCTTATGAAATTGCCGTTCTGCAGTACTGGCCATAAATCAAAATAGTTTTTGTTAGGCTAAGGCTAATTAATTTTGTTTTAAAAACATGGGATTCTTTTTCCAAAAGTAGTCATTTGTTTATTGATTAGTGTTACATTTTCATCTCATTTCAAATCAAAAAATTCGTTTAAATTTTTTCATGCAGAACGGCAATTTCATAGGTAAAGACCTATTATTATACTGTGATATCTAGGTACATTAGGCAAGACTACTTACACCAGTTTTACGTTGTATATGTACTACTTAGTACATACCTACAGCAACTCTTTAGACTTCCCCAAATGTCTTAATTTTTCTAATAGTTTCACTTCAGATATTAGATATAAGATTTTATTACCCGTCCGTAATAAGAAACATATGGAAGCGCCGTGACTGAGAAAATAGCTCTAAGTTACAATAAATCTTTTATAGGAAACATTCATAATTATACTTAGAAATAAACTTGTGGACGCTAGCTTAACGTCAACGAGCTACCCGACCTATCTAAAATCGATTCTCAACTTTATTGCGAAATAATAAGGTTGAGTTTCAATAAATTGTTGGTCAGTTTGTTGTGCTAGTTTGTGCTTACAGTAAACAACAAAATAACGTCACAAAATCACGCGAACTCTAGACAGTACAATATTACATTGCGGGACAAAAAATATTGGCCACACAAATATTTGTATACACGTAAGTTTGTAGGCACTGATTCACCAACCTTTGGTTTTCAAGTAAAGTTTTAGTTTATCTAACTTTCGCATAATTTTAACGTTTATCATACGTTTGCTACTCTCTAACGTAAAAACTACTTGATGAATTTTGATGCAAATTTGCACAGAGTTGGATTACGGTCTGAAATAAAACAAAGGCTACTTTTGCATCCGGGTAAGGCGGGCGAAGGTGTTAGCAGAACCTAGTGCCGTGTGAAATTCAAGTGACAAATTGTCAGTACCTAAATGTTCATTAGAGCGAAAGCTGTTCATAACAAATATGACATAAAGGTGCATTGAAAAAATTTGGGGTGTCTTAAAATGCTGCTGTTTTACATTAAAGGTAGGAAGTGGTTCACTTTCCTATATAATAGATAACCATCACATATTTCCAGGTTCAGTAAAATAGGTAAAATCAGTATATC